ATATTACTTTGCCTCCTTTTATCCCAAACTGATAAAAAAAATTAAATAAATTATAGTTTGGTAAGGAAATAGCTACAATTTCCTACGATTTTAGGAGGAAATGAGACCAGAAATTCTATCTCTAGCTAATTTCCGCCTAGAAGTAGGGTCATTTCGATCAGATTTTCCCCGAAAAAACGTGAAACATTGGCTTCCATTTTGCGTGATCAATTAATATATTCTTCCATAATTAATGCCGAATGGTAGATATGACTAAAGCCTCGCCGGATTTCGAAAATATTAGGGTCACTAAGCTTTGTGTGTACGTGAAAATTGTGACAACCTGCTGCATTAAACTTAATAGAAATTTATCGGGATTCAAATATTTAAAGATCCTAGTAACGAGAATCGAACAGAGTAGTCAACCTGGCGCCTATGGGTTAAATAGTCTAGTCACATTAACAAAGGTAACGATGTTTCTATTCTTGTATCCCCAACTGGTAGGTCGCGATCCCCACGAGATCCTCCATTTCTGTAATAACGAAGGCAGATACGAAAAGGTTGAGAAGCGCATTGTTTCTCGTCCAAATCGCACTTTTTTTAAACATAAATAATTACAAAAAAGTAAAATTATCGGATTAAAATGTTATATGAGAAGTTCCTTCATTAATTTCCTCATAATTTACATTTGTAACGGTATAATTTAAAATTATTCAAAGTTAAAAAAAAAAGAGAGAGAGAGCCGCTCGACTCCAGTTTTACAGGATTATTTAATTAATTTAAAACCGTTTTCTCATAAAAACTGGCCGCTCTAGTGCCCATCTGCAATCAGTATACAGTTTACCAGTTTTTCAATGGGCCAAAACCCCCCGCAACAGATGGCAAATCTATAATAATTCTTATGGACAAAACTGTAGTGAATCAGCGAGGCTGTTTCTACAATTCGGGGTTGAAGGTCAGCGGCATTTCGAACGTAAACAACTTTCTCTCCATTCTCCCTTGTTTGTTAACCCCGTAGCGCTTCGTGGTCTATTTGCTTTCCATAAATAATACCCGTAACTGTACGGAGAGCACTACAATATTTAGGTGCCGCGTACACAGGAAAAAAAAAAAATTTGGCTGTAGATACCAGAGTGCGCCACTTTCTTCTCTAGCGACCCCTAGTGTTTAAAATCTCGTCAAAGTCGGCACAAGATATACATTATCGGCACGTCCACCGAACACACAAAACACGTTTACGGATGTTTCCCAGCGAAACATATAAACAGAGGAAGGAAAAAAAAGAAAATTTCATATTTTTGGATTGTATTTTCGAGCGTGTTGAATATTTTTTCTCATGAATTATGAAAGATAAATTACAAGTGATTTTCATTATCTTCATATTGTTCCAGGTGAGTTATTGATTTTGTTGCAAACTTAATTATGAGCGCACACATACACACTTATATATATAAACACTTTAAACTATTAATTTATTATTATGCTCCATTAAAAAAAAAATTTAATTAAATTAAATTATGCACTCCAATTTAATTATTTTCTGTTTATTTTTTTAGATGCGTGCGGAAATTTTGAATTTTACAACGCGTTGCAATTGATGCTGCGGCGCTCTATTTTTTTATTTTTTTAAAAAAATCAGAAAAATTGCAATTTATAATTATAAATTTCTGTCATTTATGATGGAGAGATTGAGTAAATGCATTCAATCAATGGTTGCATACGTTATCAAATTTTTAATTTAAAAAAATTGAAGTAAAAGATGAAATTTCGGCATAAAAATCTTCAAACTGCACGAAAAAAAAGAAAGATCAATGTTCTAAAATTTAGACTTTGCCTTACCATTGATAAGACTTTCCCTGTACAGATTATATTGATACTAAATTGTTTTTAGAGATTAAATTTTTTTTTCTGCGCTCGTTATTGAAAAGATTATTGTGGATTAGGGCGTGGTTGACCCCATGTATATACTTTTCTTTATCATTAATAATTACCCTATAGCCATGATCCTATGTAAAACATTCAAAGGTTCCCATTAATATAAAAAAAAAATAAATAGAAGAAAAAATTTACCTTACAGCCAAAGCATCTCTGCAATTAGATGGAAATAAAACTAATGTTCGGATTAAAAGTATAATTAGATTTAATTAAGTTTACTCTAAGAAATTATTATAAATAAATATATGTGAAGTTTTGTGTGTGAATATTTATGGAAATTAATAATTGATTTACTCGAAGGAGATCGCTTGTGGCTTAATCGCAATGGATCGCTTCTTTCTTGTAACTTAAAAAAAATATATATATATTAGAGGAACTCTGCTTATCGCCAATTTTTCTTCCTTTAGATCCTCCCAAATTGTTAATTAAGTTTATATGAAAGCATAAATGTTATAGCCGGTCATTAGAATTTAAATTGCGATTAATTTTACGAGTTTTAAGAGTGTCCCTTCAGATAGTACCAAACGATGGCCATTGTGTCACAGGGTCAACGCCTTTGCAGGTTCCATAATTGTAATTCCGCTGGCACCTTGAATACGATAATGAATGTGCGTGAAGTAGTTAAATATGGAAATGAAGTGGCGCCATTTTTTGAGTTATCATGGGAACTGTTTCAGTAGGTAAGCGTTACATCAAAGATGCAATCTAATTGTTGTTGTGATTGCATCGATAACCATCTAACTGACTGACGCGGCAATTAAGTAGCGTGACAATCGCCCCATTTCCGGCTGATACATGACTGTCCTATCTATATTGCTCCCCATTTGTCCCCTGTTGGCCTCTTCCAAAACCTTCCACTTGGTCATTGGTGTTTCGATCACGTATTGGACATAATAAAAAAAGGGAGGAAAAAAGATCTTTAACACGAACTTAAATAATTTTCTTTGTTCGTTTCAATGGAGATTGCAGGGCTCTCGATTTGTACTTACCACTCTACAAATATCGGTTTGTTTAAGCTTTTATCTATGGCATCTCCCTAGACGATCTTAATTTATGAAGGTCCTTCATTGTTTATGCCAAACGTGTCATTGCTAGTGTGTCAATGACGAGCGAAAGTGAACTGAAGCCATAGAAAGTGAAAGTTTTCGTGGATTAAACTCGGTTTTCTAATTGGAAGAGTAAGGATTCGACGCTCACGATTTCTTGGAAACGAAAATCCTAATCTAGTATCGAAAATAATTAATTAAATAGTGTTTTTTTTTTAAGAACTATTACTCATGCTTTACTTCTTATGCATCATTCAGATTATTCGCTACATTGAAATATCGACATTTTACCCCGGTTTAACGAGTTTCGAGTAACTAGGGAATATCGTGTTTAAAAGAGCATTGATTGACTTGATAAATTTTCCTGAAAATCGCAAATTATCTTTGGGTAATTACGATATTTTATGTAAATTTTATTCATTGAATATTTGTCATTCGGGGCCTATCTGACGTCGCGTGATAGAAATTCTTTTTAATTTCTATTTAAAAATACAGATGAACATCAAATGTTTTCCGCTTCCTGTACTATCGACAGGTGGTCGGCAATAATCCCTCCCAGCTATTTTTAGAAAGATTCGATGCTATCTTCATCTTTTCTGTTAAGAGTCTTTCTTTTTTTTTATTTTTGGTTCGAGATGATCTTTGTAGTGATTATCAAGAGCTCATTTATCTGTCATAAAGTAATTTAGCCATTGCGTATAGTATCGTATAAATGGAGTTTTCAGTTACTCAGATTTGACAATTAAATTGTACAACTGATTTAAATGGTTGATTATAAAAGTACAATCGACCAATTAAAAACTATATTACTATTTCGTTTTTGTAAAACCCTAAATATTTGAGATAAGTAAGCTTTTAAGCAGTATTTTATCCGTTGTATGTCGTGGATCTCAACACTATGAAGTATCAGATTGCTGTTTGAAGAAATGCCAGGGATGAAACCTAAATGATTCAATATTAAAACATTAAAACAATAATTACTCGCTTGATACATTCACGTATAATTGAAGTATTATGTCATCTAAGTACCCATTGAAAGCTTAAGATCCAAAGCTCTTAAAGTAAGGTAAAGTCAATAGATTAACAATACAAATATTCGCATTAAGGATCCAAACAATCGTAAATTAACTCTTGTTAATTTTTTGTAAGAAATTAATTTGTTTACGAACAGGTTTTAGATCTACAGAAAATGAGGTTTAAACTTTCGCCATCATGAGCTCAACTGTTGTGGATGGTCAGGATTGAATCAATAAAAAGTACTACAAAAGGATGAATTATTCTGTATTTTTTTAAAAATATAATATAGTAGAACCTTCAATAAAGACCACTTCTAAAAAGCGGCCAAAATTTTCTGAAAACAGGAACTTCTCTCTTAAAAAAAGGCTGTTGTTTGGGAGTTATATTTTGTATGCATTTTTGTTTATGTTCCGTCAGTGGCCGTTCAGAGGTTCGACTGCATAAAGAATTAAATGGGGATATTTTTTTTATATACAGGATTAAGGATTAATTAGGTTCCTGTTTAATTGTATCCAATTTTTTTCCGATATATTAAAAGATAATGTTACTACAAAAGCAATTTTTTATGAATAAACCCATTGACGATGATCGCGGAAGCATCAGTAAAATAAAATTTCAAGTTTTGAGGGATTGGGTCCTGCTCCGCAAGAGTAATCGCGCGGAAATTCTCAATATAGGCAACTCGGGTTCATTAAAGTCGTTTTAAATTACGAATCCATCAAAAAACACGCCGAATTATATCAAAGAAAATATAAATTTTGTTATTTTTTGCAACAGGGATCATATGGGAATCAACACAGACATCACACAGAAGCCGATTGTTCGAGATGCCCACCTGGATATAGACTGATTAAGCGATGTAGCCATGGACAGGATACCGAATGTGTACCATGCGAACCTCATACCTACTTACCACATCACTCCTATAAATATAAATGTTATCCGTGTTCAGAATGTGGTATGGGATTATACAAAGCCCACGAATGTAACTCTAAGAGGGACACTATTTGTGATTCTTGTCACACATTTAAGGGGCCGAAGAACTGGAACTATTTTATTAGATGTGCCAAATTTAATGAAAACGAAACAGAAATCCAACCCAGTTTGGCTCGACGGACCATCCCGTCAACCAGGCAAATCGGTGAGTAGAAAGTATACTTTGCTTTAGCAGTAAAGATACGCCCATTATTTCCTCTGCTGTTCGCGAATAATTATTAATTGTGACGTACAGTACAACTTACTCTCCCCTAGAGAACTGCGTGCCTTGTAGATCCTATTGCAGTATATAATTCGCAGGGCTTGGATCTTGCCTAAGATTTATATTATGCCTCTTAAGACATGGCAAGATTGGTGTATTGTCCAGGAAGATGAATGCCCCCTCGACATTAATTAAGGCATTTATTTTGTCTTGCATGATTAATTAGGACCCGTGTTATGTCACGAAAGCTACCAAAGTTTATATCATTTCTTGCAAGATCTAGGGCCCTTAATGCATCCTGCAAGCTTACTAGGGCCCCTCGAGATCGTTTAGGACCTGTATTATATCCTGCCACACAGGACATAATATAACATTAAGGAGAAAAAAAACAGTTTTAATGTGTTTAATATGACGTCTCTTTTTTTAAAAAAGTATTATTTAATAGGCTATAAAAACAATAGCAATTATTATTAGATTTTATATACCCAATATAATAAGAAAATTATTAACAATGAAGATTAAAAAATTGTTTCCTCTTTTAAAGGAAGTTCGGCAATAAAATAATATTTTTTATTTTATTTTAAATTATCTATTTAACAAAGTTCTAACATCGTACAGTGTTTAAGACAAAGATAATTACTCCAAAAAAAACCTCTCTCTTCCATATCAATCTAATGAGATTTGTTATTTTTATGTCACTTCGGGGAATAGGACCAGCGATGACGTAATTTAAATAGTAAAAATGAACCTACTACTATTAAAACAATAATTATTCTTCAAATTTACCAGCTGGGAGGGTAATTCTATATCCATTTCACCTATTTATTAAGGGATATGCAAACGTTTCCTAATTTTAATATTAATAATAGGGAATGGATCGTGCCCTAAATTGATAACAGTATTATCTTGCAAGGACACGCAAACATACATCCTTTTTTTCTGCAGAAACCTATGATTTGCGGGTCTTTCAAGATTAAATAGAGGTACACGCTGTGCAATTCAATGTTGCAGAATACAATACAGACCCTAAGCTTGGATTCTATATCGTATCTCGCAACATTAAACAGGGGTCTGAAAGAATGTATAAGATTATCCCAAAAGATTGGGATGTAAATTATATTTTGCAAGACTTGTAGCATATTCTTCTACAATTTGCTTGCAGGCGGCTGAAAGACTGCATAGAGCCTGTGTTATATCCTGCAAGAACACGTGGTTTATATTATAGGTTGCAAGCTGGCACAGGATCTACGTTATCCTACAAAATTACATAGTACAGTATCTGTATTATATCCTGTAATCTCGAAGGACTTAACGTAAGTGTTATGAAGCTATCCAGACTATACAGTGTCCTTCAGGATTATTTATAGATTATTTATCTGCGAGTATTTGCTAATATAGACTATTTTTATTTACTTAAATATGCCTTCTACTGATTACCCGCAGCCCGAAATGCAACAAACAATGCCTGAAAGAAAGGAATTTCTTTCCTATCTCCATGTATAAAGTTCAACACAAACTTCTCTTATCTTTTATCATTTAGACAATTAAAAAAACATTTGGGGGGCTAAATATATATATATATGTTAATGGGATGAAACAGAGTTCGGTCGATGTGCCTATCATTATAATTGAGCAGCCAGTTATTTAGCGAGCGTAGTCTTGACCTAGTTCTGTAGAAACCTCTTATCGACATCTTTATCTAACGAAATTTAAATTTTTCTATCTTTTTAGGTCGACTGCAACACGTTGATAATACAGAAAACGAAATGACCCACGCTAGCAACGCGTACTTAGCAATGATGCTAGTGGGTGTGGGTGCGTGCGCCCTTGCGTGCCTCATCACAGGGATCGTCGTATACAGCTGGTACGGGAAGAAAAAATGGAAGGTTAGTATTTAGAAAGTAAACAAACAAGTAAAATGGCCGCGGAGGAGGAGGGGAACCCGACCCCTTCATAGAACACCTACGTATCTCTATAAACATCTGCCTCTCCGACGTGTTTGAGGTGATTTTCTCGTGTTCCCACGCATGTTAAGGCGCCAGGTGTTCCGACTTGAAAGCATTGATGCAACAAAGACGATGCTTAAATTCCTTTACAAGCCATAAAAAGCATCCTTGAAGCCAGGAATTCCAACTTTTAAACATTATACTTTCTTTAATTATAATTACCTTATAATTGTTCGCTCTTCCATTTATTACACATAAATAAGTTGCCGTTTAAGGAGCCAGATGGTGGCGATTCTTAAAAATATTCCCTTCTACATACCTACATTAACTCGTACAGATCAACAGAAACTAATAACTTTTTATGGCCATTAATAACAATTATCCGAAGCGATAAACCGTTTACAACTTAATAAAGAGCGCTAACGTGTTTACACAAAACGTCTCCATTCATTTTTTTTTTGAAAATTGCCAATTAATATATTTATTTACACCTTTTTAAATCCGTTTATTCGTGAAAATCGTGGATTAATTAACGAATGCCAACGGTTGTAATTAACAGCTGTTGTTTGGGGTAGAAATATCAAAGATTATCCACGATCTGGTAACACAGAACCCCCCGACTAGTTACGAGTTCAAGGCTAATACACTACCGGTTTTGCTCCACTGATTTTTCATCTGACATTGATTATCCTTATCTTTCTACTGACTTTCACCTTGTCTCTCCGAGAGACACGTTTTGCCCTCAAGGACGCGACTTCATCACGTGAATGACCTTTGACACGCTGCAAAGTGATGAATATGCGAGACAAGATTAATTATAAGCTGCGCATTTTTGTTTGTAAAACATATAGCTTAAGTCTCTGTCTCTTTTTTTTTGTTAGTAGAATGTTCTAGTCGAGATTTATTGTTCACTTTCTTCCAACAGGATGGCTCCGTTTACACTTACAAGAATGTAAATGTCGAAGATCCACCAAAGGCACCTTAAAGGGTAAGATTTTTTAAATTTTGTTTAAATAATACCAACACAATTAGCATGCTGTAATGATATTTACTCATTGTACGAAGCTACAAAGCATTTTTATCACGAGGGGTTCTGCTCATTGATGCCAAAGTGGCTCTCGATTCTTCCTCCAACGGAATTTTTGTGCAATTTTTTTGCAATCTTTTACGTAGTTAACAACTCAATTATGCTACTTCGGGTGTTTTCGGAGATTACAGAATGGAAAACTACAAAAATAACGTAATATGGCCCTTGCCCCGACTTCAAATCTAATCAGTGCAATTACATAATTTGTTTTTTACGCCATAATTCTTCTATAAGTTATCACGTATAAGCTTCAATTATGGTTTACAATCGAAGTTCCGCCAGTTGAAAATCTGGGTGTTTAAATTCTTGTATGACGCACGGAATGGCCGCAGCAGCAAACATCAGATTATACCGATTATGCGTTGAGATTCACCTCTTAACCTTTACTTTCTCTCAATATTCTTCGTGTTGATCTTTGTTTAAACTGACAGAACAATACCCACTTTTGTGCATCCCGAAAGATAAGATCTTTATCATAAATGCTCATTCAATTTCTGATTACGGCCAACCATTTTGAATTCCAGCAACTAAACTAGATGCAACTTATCAATTATTGATAAGGAAGAGAGGAAACACGATTAACGTATAACATTACTTTTGCCAACTGCTCCAAGGATACGACTAGAAGCGTGTTTCTTCAGTGAGGGGATCTGAGTGTTGTTAAGGTTTCTAAGTAGCTGTAGACACTACTGAACTATTAATTTAGAATAGTTGAGGGTTTAAACATCCCTATTTTAATTAAGTTTGAGAAATTGTGACTAGTTGGAGCATTTGGCATGCAACCAAAAGGTGTGGGTTCGGCTCTTCATACCAAATTTACTTTGCATTAGAGGCAATACCTAGTTTACATGCAACACTATATTATTCCATAAAGACATCACTATACGAATACTCTAAATGTTATTTAAGCTCTTAAAATGTGTCTAGAGTGAAAAATGGCGTCCGGGATTCTACAGAATCTTAATCTTTTATTTTATAGTACGTCAGCGCCGTTGGATATTCCCCCCTTAATTAGAAAGGATTATATACAAAGATGGGCGTGAAGCATGGCAATGTCATCCTTTCGTCTTCACGTCTCGTTTGTTAAGTTTTATGTTGAATTTATTGTCCATTAATGTCCATTATCAATTTCCTAAAGGTAACTGATGCTTTCCAAGGTCGACAGATAAGATCGTCTCAGCTTATCGTCGCATGTAGCTTATAAATCTCGAAACAAATCCTTAACTTACATTTTTATTTATTTATTTCATTTCTATAGATGATGGCGTTGCAACACGGAGAGGGAGAGACGAGAGAGAGCATTTTGTACCATAGATCTCCACTTTTCTAGTCACCCAAACCAGACTAGTCTGTGTTAGGATAAACACTGTGCACCAGTACAAAATATAATCAAACAAGACGAGTGTATGTATGTGTGTGTGTACACGTGTGTGGATTCACATTTACTTTATCCATTTCTGTAAATAGCTGTAACGAAAATAAATACCTCTCGTAAATAAACCTTTGTTTCTTGGATTTTTTGATTACATTCACCACATCAAAATTTACACAACTGATTACAATTCTCCTTCTACTTAAACAAATGTTTGAATTTCTTAAAAGGACTGCATTTTCTTCAAGATTTTCCATAAATTTCAACTTGAAAAATCCAAAAAAGTAACCAATTAGAACTTTTGTACTTAACAATAAACAGATTTTAATATTTTTAGACAATTTACCTTGCTGCAAAGTGGGTGACCAACAGATCAAGTTTGGTTTTCAGAATGAATCAAATATAGAAACCATTACTTTATATTATTTATTCACAACCAAATAATATACATCAAAATTACTTTCTTATTGGAGAACATAATAAAAACAATCTTGGACAACAATTAAAGTATCAATATCCTTTTTTTGTATTTTTCTTTTTTTTTAATTTTTACTTGATGTTCAATATATCTTAAATCAAAGAATACCCCAACAGTATTAGTTTTGTAATCAAACAATTCCCCAAAATCCTCACAGGTTTTGAAATTTTATTTTTGTATAGATATAGTGCATATATATATATAAATATATATACCCTTGTAGATAAGATATAATAGACAATGTAGATATATATATATACAACTATTGTTTCATTCAACAAACTATTGTACACAAATCTCAACCAATGCAGCCCAGTTAAATTAAAATTAAAAAAAATATATAATAATAATAATAATAAGGAAAAAAACGTGTTTTTTACCCTGCAAATAGTTTTACCATGCATCACTTTTGCAACAAAGACGTCCACTTCAACACGTACTGGAGCGAGTTCGCTTTTAAGTCGATTTTATGATGTGTTTGTTCTACGTGCAGTTACTGTACAGAAGGAAAAAGATACACATTCATCACGGAGACGACCGCCGACTGAATTTTTATCGTCTCGACGCGGCGAGTGTCGAGCAAATTTCAATTTTCTAAGTTCCTAGATAGTTAACAAATTGATAATCGATTAATACGTACAAACCGATTAATGAAAAGTAACAATCTGCCAGCAGAAAGTGATTTTGTTTTCGAAATTAAAAAAGAGTCATCTTCATTCGAGCCTTTTTTTTATTACTGTTATTTTTTTTCGGTTTTGTTTGAGAGAAATCACTATTGTTAAATTAATCTCTCTAAACGTTCTGTAGTGAAAAGAGTAAAAAACAAAAGTTTTGAGAACGGACTACCACGAAGTATGAAATTCGTGGTAGGCAAACAGGATTTTTTAAAATATATATATATGTATATATATTATATTAATTTCTGCATTAGTATCTTCTCTCCTAGTTTGATTGCCACTTGAGTTCTTCCCATGTTTGTTTTTCTGTTTCGGTGTCATCCGCAGCAATCACGACTGCATGTGGAATCCTTTAATTTTTTAGGATCTTAGCAAGAGGGAGAGAAATTCATTTTACCACCACATTTTGTTTGCAGAACTGAGGAAGCCCAGTTTTTTAAAACTGATCAGATCTCCATATTACCACCACACTTCTGTATTGCAGACGACGTACTGGCATTTAATAGCCAGAATGAATAAACAAGAAACAACAGACAGGAGTTTGAAATTTTTTAAATAAGAACACTGCCCAATCCCAAGCGAATCACCTGCTATAGGTCACGATTGGAGATAAGCTTCTTGGAAAATTTCTACTATCAACATAAACCATTTCACTGTTTCAGTTATCACCTTCGTCGGAGCCTTCCTCCTCTTCTGCTTCTTCCAGCCAAGTGAGCCACTGATTGACCTATCCAGAAAAAAAAACTTTGTCTTCAACATTACAGATTTGTTATTATTTTTTTCAAAAGTTAAATAAATTGATCCAAACCTGAAAGAGTGCTTTTCCTTTTCCCGGATATTCATCGTTAACGTCTTCTTTCCACTTCAAGAATGCCTCTTCCTCGACGATTTCAAGTTCATAAAATGATATAAACCAACGCAACATCATACCTAAGCAAATCAATAAATTGTCATCCACGGTTGTCACCACAGAAATCAAAAATTAAAATCTACAACAATTACCTTTAGGGAAACTATTATTATAACAATGTACTTGCAAAGCATATAATGTGATAAGTTGTAGATCAGGATGTTCTTGGAGAAAAGCCAAAAACACAGGCTAAAAATTGAAAATAATAATATATAAAGATCGTAAAATTAATTCTTAAAGTATACAAATATAGAAATATTCAAACCTTGAACTTCATCAGCAGTTCTTTCTCTTTATCGGTTAAAGTTTTGTCAGGGACAGCAGCATAATCAATTCCTTCTGCCAAAGTTGTCTCTTGGGTTATGAACTTGATCAAACTATAAATTTTACAATAAATTCTGTACACAAAGCATTGGTATGCTACTTATTTTAAACTTTTAAAAGAAAAGAAAAAAATTTCATTAATTCAATATGTTTGCCTTTAAAAACAAACAGATAATAAACATTCTAATATCACAAGAAAATTTTTAAACAAAACTTCTACCATAAAAAATTATTTCAAAATAAACAACAGAACAAAATTAGATCAGTTTATCTGCTAGGAGGAATATCATCTTTATGTAAATATTGCAAATAACAACTCCAAAAGGACTTTTATTTAACTGAAATTTCCATCTATCAGAGAATATATAAACATGTTTGAAATTTTTTCATTTTTATGGAGTGTCCTTTTGTTAACAGAGTTTCATTTTTAATAGTCATATAAAGAACTAATGCCATTAGTTTTTAGTACTCCTGTATTCTGTAAACCTTTCTAAAAGATTTTCTTCATTTTAAAAGCTTGGAAGTACAGTATTTTTAACTCAAAAATGCTCATAATTTTTTGAATTAATTAACAAAAATATATTATTTAATATCAATATCAGAGTTGAATATGGATTCAGTGTGAGTAACAAAAATGCTTGAATAGAAACACAAATATTCAATCCTAGTGTAAGTTTTTCTTAAAATGTTAAATTTATAAAATTTTGCTACAGATTACATTATTCATTATCACATTGAAGATATTTGGTTTATACACGTGTTACATCAATAATTTTGCCACTAACTATTAAATTAAGTTTATAAGAAATTTTTCTTTAAACAAAAGCAATTGTGAATTCATGTGGCACTTTTCCAGCAAAACAAAGAATTAAATAATTTTGAATTTATTAAAATATAACTGTATTAGTGAAGTGGTATTAGTTAATTAATCACTTTAAATTTATATAATCTCAACTTCATATTTATGCTTGCATGTATCTAATACAGAACAAATTTATCTAAAAAGCTTAAAAGAATGCCTAGTTAATGAAATTTAATAGTATCTAAGTGGGAAAAAATGCAAATATCTTCAAAAAAATCAAAGTAAACAAATATGCTTTGATATATAAATAAAACAATACCAAACGTGTGATATGACTATTCAAATTTTAGAGAAAACAATTTAAGTTCAGAAAATTAGAAATCTGATTAGAAGTAATGACAATCAAAATAATAAAAAATATTATTTTTCTTTATAGAATGAAATAATCATGTGCTTAGCAGGGTTAGGAATTGGCATTTTCTTTTTACCAAAAGAAAATGCCAATTCCAACTCCTTAGTATTTATATATAGTATCTACTACTTCATCAAGCTAATTTACTAATTAGCAATGCACTGGTAATCTAATGATAGAGGCTCAGTTATGTTGTCTTTTTTACTTTACTCAAAAGAGAATTTACAATGCCCCATATACAGAAATAATCCTGTCAAGTTTGAAAATTTTAGGTTCTTCCAGCCCAGATATATAATTATATTATTATAATTACAATATTTTTTTATTTTTAAGGTTTAAAGTCTTAAAAATGATGTGCCACATTTTAACAACAGCTTTGGAGCAGGATCCCAATTGTGACTCCAGCCAAACATTTAATTTTTAAGTACAACTGTTTGAAATAGGAGTAGATTATCAAGCCATTTTATTTTAATACATGTATAATCTGTTCTATCACTTTATATTAGTTTTATATAAACAACAGACAGATTGTTTGTTCATATAATTTCATTATTATTCTCAAATATATCAAACTATAATTATAAAAAGAGAATGAGATATTAATAAACAATTAACTAATAATTACTATTCACCAGTTATTTACCATCATTGAACCACTTTTCAATCGGATGCAGGTGTAGTCTGTTTTTACAATTGCCAGCTTATATTAGAAAGGTTATAATAGTACATAACATATAAACAAAAATTAATATTGCAAAATTTTAATTATTTAAAAGCTACTAAAATATTGATCATACTATACTATGGTATTATTGAATACAGTTGACATAAATAATTAACTTTTTTTTTTTTTTTAATTTTAACATATTCCTGTTTATTTTTTCAGAAATAGTTATGAGAGATCTTTTTGTTAAATTCACAAAATTTTAAACATTTGGAAAGTCAAAAGCTCAACACTTTCTAGAGAATGGCTGAAGAAATTAACACCTAACAGAAAATAAGCCAAGAATATTTTAAAGAAAATAAGGCTCTGAGCTTGGGTTCCAGCTCCAACAAAAAACGGATACTCCAAAACTCCAAATATCTGCACTTAATGCATATCTATTCTGGTACTACTTATGCTTATATACATATATTATACAGGAGAATGCCAATTATTCAAGGTAATGCAAACCAATACTTCCTTTGGATATAACAGATGGCCTGACTGTTTTTGATTAAAAATTACAAATATAGATGATTTATATTACATCATTTTTGAGTTTCTTTTTATACTCTAGTGAATTTAATCATGTATAACAACAACATAGTTTATATCATTTATTATATAGCAAACACATACAATAGTTTTAGGAATGTAAATGTACATTATTATAAGTTACTGTAATTATTATTAGTAGTACTGGAATATTACACATTTTAATGTAAACAGTTTCCCTCACATTGAAGATAAAAGATAATAGAAACAAATTGTTTTGTAATACATGATATCATTTTAAACTTTAAAAAGTCAGTTTTTCTCTTTTAGCAACTCCTCCCTTCTTAACTGCAATGTTCCAGTCACCTTGGCATCAGCCACATGTTTGGTACAGTCAAGGTTAAAAGTACTGAAGTATTTGTATGCTTGGTGCATTCACGGTAAAGCTTTTATGAATTGTCGCAAAAGTAACGCATTCTCAAGTTCACCTCAGATATCGCAAAAAACCTTGGTTAATCAGGATTATACTGCATATATTTTGTAACGATTTTCTATATGACATGCAATTATAAATTTAAATATAAAGGAGAAAAAAAAATTCAAGGAAACTATATTTACATTCATATTTAAGTGATGTAAATGGGAATATATTTGATATATATTGAATTAATTGTCTCTAATTATTTAATGATGTATATATGAAACAACATTTATTGATGTGACATATATTGAGGACTTCTTTACCTGATTCTATTATTTATATAAAGTATAATAATAAATAATTAATGTAATTAAAAAACATAAATCATAAATTTGAAAACTACTAATTAAACACCATACCATGATACTAAGGCATTTACAAATCCAGGAACACTATGCTGGGTCACGTCAACATTTTCTTTGATCCACCTATAGAGAGAGTTGGGACTTTTATCACTCTGAATTTGTTTCCAGAGGTCTGCTTGGATCCTCAATAATGGAAATAAAAATCCAAGACCTCGATCCTCTAAGATATCTGCTAATCGTTCTTTGGTTCTGTCCATTTCTATAAATAAACAAACAAAAAAGAAAAGTTAAAATTATGAAATGATATTTGCATTTCAAAATATATCTTTAAAGCAAATTAGGATTTTTTTCTGGCTTTATGAATTTAAAAGATAAGAGAATTGTGTGTTCACATGTGCAGTTACATTAATGACATGTATTGCATATAAATGATATGATTATTATTATTATTATGCATGTTAGTAAAAAATTTTTTTGTTTATAAATTGTCTTTATTGATTGGTAAGAACTGATTCTGATAAAATGAAATGGTTCATATCAGAAAGTAGATATCTCTAATTACTAAATTAACGTATCATTTAAAAGATATAATCAAATTTTTTTGTGTTATTAACATAGCATCTTTTATTTTTTCTTCTTATAATAAACAAGCATCAGAATTTTATCATAAATAATAAAATTTCAAGGCCTATAATTAATGGCTTACAGAAAGAAAGATGTTGATAGAAACTAACATTTAAAAACAATGAACTGAATGAACTTATAAAGGTGTAAAGGCTTTTAATTCTTTTCACAATGTATTTATTGAGTTAAATTTTTCTATACTTGAAAAATACTGATATTTATTCTATATATTAAACTTCTCGTAGCATTGCAACATTCAAGAAATTTATATGTTTGCATGAACTTTAGATAATTTTTCAAATAATTATGGCTGTAAATTAATAATCACCAGGAGACAAAAACAGTTTAAAACTAAAATTTAGATTCTGAAAGTTAAATCAATACAAAAAGTTTCTTAACTTGAATTTAAAACATGCTGATTTCATATGGATATAATTAGGCATTGGAAATACTTTCCAATCATCTAACAAATTAATTATATTTACATCATTAATTTAATTGGAAATATTCGGAAATAACAAAGTTTGTATTTAAAATTTCTCTGAATTTCAAGCTAATATAAATTTTTGAAATTTATACACTTTCTTAAATGGAATAAATGTTAACTTTTAATTCATGTCTACAAATATGAATAAATTAAAAAAGAAAAATATTCTTAATTAATATATGAACAAATCAAATGTATTGTAATAATAAAGATGCCCATGAAATACAAAATGTTAGAACCAAGTATATATTTTATTTGGGGAAGAATATAATTAAATTATCAGAATATTAGACCAAGAAAAAAAAAAGTAAATAATGATAAAATTATTTATTTTATGCTTCTAAAATACTTTGTTCACTGATAGGCAAGGAATATCCTACACAGTCTGCTGGATTTTTAATGAGCTAAATAAATTATGGTTATTTTAATGATCAGAAACAAAAAACAATTTGGCTTAGAAGCAAGCAGTAAATCAGATTTCTTTGTCTCCAAAAATTAAAGTAGAAATAATTTAACCAGATAAAAATCTAGCAGATTGTTTGGAAATTCTAATGTATTGGGTTGGATGTTTATTATTTATACATACTGTATATAGAAGCAAGGAATGCTTTATGCAATATCTTCTTGATAAATATCAAGTGGAGATCTCAAGTTTTGAATACAAAATGTTATGAAAGATGTACTTAAGTTTAAAACACATTAATTATGAAATGACTTTCTAATTCTTTAAAATAAATAATTTATCAATATCCTTCACGTTAACAGAAACAATCTCTTACTTATGGAATATAAAAAGTAATTCTTACCAGGTAACATAGACAAAAGGTTAATTTTGCTTTGATTAAAAGTTGTATCTAACCATGTTCGTCCTTGAGTTTTATGCAATTGCTGAAGGCAGAGAAGGAAAAGTGGGTAATGTGCTCCACCTTCTAATGGTTCTGCAATTTCTCCAAGTAATACAATGTTATCAGCAATTCCTCTAGCAGCAAAACCAGCAACATATGATTTGACACGGGGAACTTCTGCCTCCAAATCTGACATCTGTTGAAACACAGCCTTCATTGCCTGTAATAGAAATATCATAAAATTAACAAATGCAATAGGTAATATAATTTATGTTTATAATAAATTATAGATGTGTTAAAACTTGTGTATAAGCATATAGGTATTTATGTATAGGTGTATTAAAACTTGCATCATATCAAACTTTCAAATTTTTTAAAAATTTTACTTTATTTTTGATTCTTTCTGCCCAGTGGAAATAAACTAAAGTGTAAACTATAGTAGAAACTAAAAGAGCCTTTTTCCCCATTCCCATACTGAGTTCAATGAAACTAATAGGACAACTGGATGGCAAGGGTTAAAATCCAGCATATCTGAGACAGACCATATCAAAAAATTTCTGGGGTTGCCTGCCTGGATTCAATCCTAGATCCTCAGAATGGTAGCCTGACACCTTAACTTTGGCCATCCAGCTGCCAACTTTCAGCATTTTAATGCTAGGCTGGTTAACATCTATAGAAGATGTGCCACCAATACCATATATATATATATCTTTATATTATATATATATAATATTCTTGATAGATAGTATTTAAAAAAAATTATTTTAAAAAACTTAAAACAATTGATATCTAATCTTATCATCTATATTGTGAATTAAAATCAATACAAGAATTTTTCTCCTACTTCATTCATTTACTTTTTTACAATGTTTATCAAGATCATATATAAACCCAACACTAATTAATAATGTTTTAGATCATTTTTTGAGAAGCAATACTAATAAAAACTTAATCTTATATTGACTAGACTTTATTTCTAAGTGTTAAATCAGCTCTAACATTTGGCAAAAGAAACTTAGTTTATTTAGAAAAACATTTATAACAGTCCTTCAATACAATCCTTTCAGATCTATGCAAACAAATCTATCAAACTGTTTTTCGTAATGTTTAGAATAAAATTCAAAAAGTATTTTTAAAAGTTGGAAAACCACTTAGATCTGTAAAAGCATTTTAAAACATAACTGACAACTAACAAAAAAATTATTATTTGACAACTTATGACAACAATGTTTTAGAATAAAATAGAAATACTTTACATTAATATTATTTTGGTTTTCAAAGAAGCTTTTTTGAACATTTTATTCCAAATGAAAAAATTCTTTAACCTATCCCATGTTGAAATTTTTCTCCATTGTGTGTGGCCACCATGTTGAACTCTTGTTGATGTTAAGCCTAACAATTTTTTTTAAATAATAATTGTGGCTACTGTACTGTTAAAAATTATTTTTTTTATTTTGCACAAACAAAATAAATATATTGAAAAATATAAAAACAAAAACAAAAATTATATGTTGAAAGTTTGGTGATAAAAAAGTAGTAGTTCTTAGGGACACTGAATGGAATGAATTTCAAGTTTTCCTACCAGATCAATTTAATAAAAAAATAATGGATAAGGATTTAGACAACATGAGTGATTTAAAATTTATATACAGGGGTATGAAAGATTGTGGGGATATGTATAAAGCACATATTATTGAGTTTGTTTGACTTTTTTATATTTACTTTTTTGTAATAAATGACTTGATTAAATTCAATGAATTAAACAGACTTTAAATAAATGACACTAGGAATCAATGACATTTTACAGGTTTTGACTTTTGTTTAAATTCACTGAATTTTACTTTTGATTTTGATTAAATTCACTGAATTTTACTTTTGATTTTGATTAAATTCACTGAATTTTACAGGCTTTAAATTTTTTGAGGTAGAAACATTATTATACTAATTTTAAAATTATGATGCATAGCAACATCTAGTATCAAAAATGTTTCAATACAGAAATGAGTATGTTCAGGATCAACGGTCAAATGAGGTCAACATGAAAATACTTAGGAATAACACAGGACAGGTTGAAAGTGTAACATGTAATTAAAAACATTTAGTAAGAATTTTAACAGTTCATTATTGTGTATCAAAATCATTTCTATAAAAAACAGAAATTATTTATAGTAAGACTAGCTGTTACTTGCAACTTCGCTCATGCAGATTTTGCAAGCGAACCCCACTTATATTCAGCATTTCAGCAACCATAGTAATTGTTATATAACACCTACCACTGAGAATGAGAATTGTTGAGAATGAAACAAACTATTTCAATTTGATCAATTTTCTGGAACATTTACAATCGTTCTATAATCAAACCAATATGTAATAACAAATTCAAATTTAAAATGATTCGAACATTTGGTTAAAAAATCGAAATATATAAAAATATTTATAACAATGCCTGAAGTGTTATCAATTTAATGCACCTAAGTACTCAATGAAGACTAAACATAGTTGAAAACAAAAAAATGTATCTAAAATAGTATAGTAGAAGCCATTCTTCAGGTTAAGCCTTAATCCTTTCCCTCTTCCCCCCATGGGAAAATTTCAAAAAATCCCTTCTTAGTGTGTGTTTTCATGACATACCCTAACTGTGTACAAAATTTCACCTCTTTAGGTTCAGCAGTTTGCTCTGGGTGATGATGAATCAATCACTCAGTCAGGACAAGTAATTTTATATATTTAGATGTAAACAAAAAGTTCTCTCTCTCTTTTCAAATAACCATTATCATAAACATAAATGCTTCTATATAACTTTCATCAATGAATCATAATATCTCAATCTCAAGGTAATTTTTCACTTTTTATAGTTTGTTACTTAACCTATCTCTTACTAATTGCAATTAAGATATTCTAGATTGATAAGGGATGTTAAAATCAGAATGTGATAATATTTTTCTGTTATTGACTTAATTGTAACAAATAATGTGATGTTCAGCATTAATAAACAGAAAATTAATAATAAAATATAAAACATATATTAAAAAAACTCAAACCTCTAAGAAAACATTATTATGAAGAACTGCATCCTTTTTCAGCATTGCCAACAAGCGACTAATGCATTCTCTGTCACTCTCAGATTTTTCTAACGTCTTCAACATAAACATAATTATGACATCTGCCAAAAACCTGTGAAGAAATTTATTATAAAAATAATTCAAAGGAATAAATAAATTCTATAATTTATTATAAAATAAAAAGAAAATAGTCATCAGACTCAAAAATATGTATTAAATTACATACTGGATCAGTCTATAAGTCAATAAGTCTTCAGTTGCAGGTATTTTGTGATGTTACTGGATTGTAGTGGTCCAGAGTGTCAGTTTCAACAACCAAAAGAACATTGTTCCTCGAGTGGACATCCGGTCATTGTAGTACATCATAAAGGCATTCCACATCCCTGAGTTGTCCTCTAGTTCCGGTCTCCTAGAAGCTGGATTACAGGAACATACCACCACTCCCAGCCAAGATATGATATTGTTTCGGTGGTCGAAACAACATTGTACCTCAGACACTTGAGACCACTACAATTTATTAACATTACAAAATAACTGCAACTGAGTTCAGACATCTTAAAATATCAATACTATATTTCTATATCTGACAAGATTAGAAAACCCACTTTAGTGATTGTTTTTTTAAAAGGCTTCAATCACTTTTAAATACTTTTAAACATCGAATTAACTTCATTATAAACTGCATAAAATATTAAACATATACTACAGTATAGTGAAACATTTTTAATTGGAAAAAGAACAAATAAATCATTTAATTAATTTTTCTTTATATTATATTGTATAGTATTATTATAATACATATTATATATGTAATATGGTTTAAACCATAAAATAACTCAAACAAAATAAAAAGTGATGTATCTATGAATAATAGAGCTTTAACAACAAAATTATATGGAACATTCTATTACAAAGAAAAATAAAACTTAAATTGAAAGGAATTATTATAAACTTTCCAGCATGGACTTTTCTGTTTATATGTTTTTTAACATGTGCAGAAAAAATGTGCATTCATTTTTCTGTAATAACAGTAACAACTCAACAGTTAAATAAAGTATTTCATTACATTTCATAAATAAAACAAATCGTTTCTTTAATATTTGATAGTAATTTAAAGTTATCAGCGTTTTGTCATAAATTTTATTGCATTAAGGGTGGGGCAGTAAAAACTGCCCCACCCTTAATGCAATAACTGAACTCAAAATATTACATTCTTCTCTTATGCAATTACTCAATGCAACAACTGAACTCAAAATATTACATTCTTCTCTTATGCAATTACTCAATGCAACAACTGAACTCAAAATATTACATTCTTCTCTTATGCAAATACAATAATTAAATACACACACTCCAATAACTGAACTCAAAATATTACATGCTTCTCTTATGCAATTATTGTACAATTCAAAACAACATAACTTAATTTAAATATATTAGTAAAAAGATAATGNATTATTTTTAATTTCTTTACTAAGTGTGATTTAAAAAAATAATAATAATAAAATAAAAGATAAATGTAACACCCCATTCTGGAGAAAACTTTTGAATTGAATTCAAGTGACTTCTGGTGCAAACTGGAAGTTTGTATATAGTTAATTGGTGCCTCCTGCAACTAAGTAACTGCAATTTAAAAATTGCAGACCTCTAAATTTCCACTGGTGTCTGTCTGTCCTGTAATCTCATGAACGGAGTCAGTTAGATGAAAGTTAAGACCAGATACAGAAAATCTACTAAAATCTACAGAAACCTCTAAATTTCCAATGGTTACTTTCCAAACAACACGAAATTACTTTCCAAACAACCCAATAGATCTGCAATTTAAAAATTGCAGATCTATTGGGTTGTTTGGAAAGTAATTTCGTTTTTTTACCACTAGACGGATTAGTCATATTTTCCCCGCCATTTTTATTCTAAACTGTATTATCATTATATATTTTGACAGCTAGCATTTTAAGGCTTATCTGTAAAAAATTTTGTTAGATTTTGTGCAATTGTTTATTTTTTGTGTCCCATCAAATATGGAAGATCGAAAGCAGCATTTTCGGCATATTTTGCTCTTTTATTACCGAAAAGGTAAGAATGCTGTTCAAGTGAGAAAAAAAAATTGTGTGACATGTATGGAGAAGATGTATTGACAGAACAATAGTGCCAAAATTGGTTTACAAAATTTCGTTCTGGCAATTTCAATATTGAAGATGCACCACATTCTGGATGGCCAGTTGAAGCCATAATGAAAACAAAATAAAGGTACTGATTGAAGCAAACTGCCAAATAACAACACATGAAATCACTAAGAAATTAAATTTGTCAAATTGAACTGTTTATGATTACTTGAAACAAATTGGTTTCGTTTCAAAGCTCGATATATGTGTTCCACATGTTCTTAAAGAGAGATGCTCTCTTTGGTGGAATTTTGAGTAAATTTTTTTTTGGAGCTTTTACCAGACAATTTAACAATTGATTCGAAAGTGTACTGCCATCAAGTAAACAAATTGAGTAATATCATCAAAGAATTGATCAACAAAACAGGTGTAGTGTTTTACCACGATAATGTCAAATTTCACACAAGTTTGGTAACTCGTCAGAAACTGTTATAACTTAGATGGGACTTGCTATCACGCCAACCGTATTCACCAGATTGAGCACACTCAGATTATTACGTGTTCCGGTCTATACAATTTTTTTTTAACTGTAAGACATTTACTTGAAATGACAATGTCAAAAATCACTTGGATCAGGTTTTTGTAAGCAACGATCAAAACTTTTATGAATGTGAAATCATGCTACTACCAGAAACGNGTACTGTTTAAAAAGTAATGAAATTTAAAAACACTTACAAATTAATACAAATAAAATTTTCAATTCTTTTTATTAAATAATAATTTCAAAATTTTACTTACAGCTTTTTTCATAACTTCCTCTTTGCTTGGACCTTGTTTATTAGCCTTGTTTTTATCTTGTGTAGATTGTTTAACTACAACCTGTGTCTTAAAAAAAAATCTTAATTAACATTATAAGTATACATAAATAAATAACTACATATGTATGTATATACATACAAATTCTACTGTATAATTTATAATTGATAAAAGTTTTTAATAATTATTTTTATGTTTATCTTCATAAAATATTTCTTCAATACATAATGTAAGTAACTGCCATTAGAATTTGGAACTTTTGATTTATTTATATTCATTTAAAGCAATTTAAAAATATAATTTACCTCTTTCTGAAGTGAATTAGGGACAACATTCGGTATAATAGCACCAGAAGAGAAATCTCTAATCACAGATGTATCAGTTCCTGCACTACCAGAAACAAGTGGGATGCTTGATACCACTGGTTTAGCAAAGGAACCTGCCATAGGCTTGGATTTCAACAAAATAGAGTTTTGGGCTGGTCGAAGACTAATCTAAAAGAAAGTAAATAAACAATGAAATTAATTCCTTTTTGTAATAATAATATTGAAATAAAACAAAACTTACCTCATCTAAATTGCCTGTTTGCTGTTGTAATGCTTTTTTCAAAAATCGTGGTGGGACATCACGATTAATAGTGGGACTACCACTAAAACCATGCATATGCTGATTCTGAGTTGGAGTTTGTCTTTGCTGTTGATAATTAGGAAATAAGTCACGATCACGATTCTGAATTGGTTTGTTACGATTCTGTCCATAGAATGATCCTGTTCCTCCAGTAGTGAGGAATCCTAAAAAAAAATCATCATTTAATTTAAATATATAAATACATATTTCATATAAAGGAAATGCAATATAAGCTCTAAATTTATAAATTTAGAGCTTAATCCATCACTCATAAATTAAAAGTAAATTTTCCTAGTAAAAATAATGTAATCAGTAGTAATTAAATAAAGNTAATTTACATAAGATGGATATCAACAAATTCTACCTTGTTCTGTCGTAATTCCAGCACATCTTGTAGCATGAAGCGAATGCGAGAGGGCAACTCATTATTGTTTGCTAAAGTTTTCATACGATCAAAGTACTGATCCATTCTGGCCTAAACAAATAAATTTCATGCCACATAATTAAAAAGCGAATCAAAATTAAGAACAACAAAGAAAAGAAAGCATTACCTTTGCCTTTTCAGTATCAAGACGATGGCCAACAGTCTTCATTATCTGACAGAGACATTCCAAGTCTTCGGCCATGTCTTTGAGACTTTGCCTCTTCTTTTTAAGCAGGAGCTGGTGTACACACTGATGGAGTATGGTCTCCTGTAACAAGCCCTGCTTACCCAATTCACCAATAAATTTGATATTTCCCAACATTTTGTGCTTGGCAACAGCACGTTGCTCTTCCTCTTCTGCAGAAAGAGGGCCATCTTTCTTATCAAAAGCTGTAATTAAATATTAAAATTAATTTACTGAAAAACTGTGCAAACAAGTTTTTCTGGAAATCCTAAATATTTAATCCTCAACAATAATAAAAGAAAAAGAACATATAATATAAAATAAATATAAACACCTGTAAGCCAATAATTATATTAAAGCCAAACAATTGCCAGATTTAGATTGGGCTATATTACCGCTACTATTAATAATTAAATGCTAAGTAATTCGGCCTAGAGGTAGGCATTAGATGGTTAATTATAATTATTAAATTTAATAAGAGATGGCACCTAAACACCTACATCTAGGTCAAATTACTTAGCATTTAATTTTTAATAGTGTAATGTAGCCTGATCTAATCTGGAAATTGTTCGGCTGTAATATAATTTAACTTATAATTTAAGAAATATTTATATTTCTTATAATAATTTTTGAAATTTACTAAATTAATGAATAATTTCCAATCAGTGACAATACTAAGAAATAATAATAGTAATAAAAAAGATAATACAGAATATTTATGATAATTATGTAATATCAACATGTATTAATAATTTTTACAAGATGTAGAAATTATTACATTTTAGCACACCATTAGAATATACTGTTGTAATCAAAATACAATTCTATCAAATCAGACAAATCCAAGAGTATTCAATATTTCTGATGATAAAGATTTCTTAGAGCAGAATATACAGACTAAATGAAAACTCTACTTCAGGAGTCACCAAAGTGGTCAATATCGACCTTCCGGGGTCATTATAACATTATTGGGATTCGATTATCAAGCTTAAGCTAAGGATCAAGCTTATCAGTTTCACTGATTGTCAGTTACAAAAATTATTAACAACAAATATACAATAAATGGAAAAAAAAAATGCAAAATTAAAAGAAATGTATTAAAATAGTAAGTGCTTTGTTTTGCTTGTAACACAAACTGTTTGATGGCGGTTGATGTGAGGTTTTGAAAACTTGTAGGGGGTCGATGATCAAAAAAGTTTGGCAATCCTTGCTCTACTTTCACTATGATGCAAAACATATAATTTGTCCTATTTTAATTTAATTTTTGAAAAAATTAATTAAAATTATAAAAATCAATAATAAGTCATCGAAATGAAGAGATTGATGGCAACTGAAAGATAATTTTGTGACAACTAATTTTATAGTCATGTAAAAATACAATACATAAATATTATATTTAATAAATTAAATAAACTAATATCATTTCACAAATGCTATTTAATAAATCTGACATGTTACTTGAGTATCTTGTAAAGCAATAAATGAATTCAAAATTACATCATTGTCAAGTAGTTCTGAGAGATGAAACAGAAATTACAATGCTTTTTAATATTATCTCTTAACTAGTCTAGATTCATCAATAATTGTCAGTTCTAATGAGCTCAACTAGTAAAGTCAAAAGTTTGGATAAATTTTCTGCAGGGCAGTGGGTTCCATTTAATGATTTACAAAACCTTGAGATTCACTTCAACAGTGACTTAGGGCAGTGCTCCTCAAAGTGGAAATGCTTTTCTCCCTGGAAGGCATTTTAATTATCCAAGGGGGCATTAGGTATGATAGGAAGGCCTGTGTACACAGAACAGGGGGCATTACTAACAGTCAACCAAGGGAAGTGGTGGTTCAAAAAGTTTGAGTAGCGCTGACTAAGGAGTTCAAGCTAAACTTCTCTAATGATGTTAATATTGCTAAACTTGTTTTATTTTGTATTATGTTAACTTATTCCTAGTGTCCTAATGCATTTCACTGAAGCTAAATAATTATTTACATTGTAATAGAACTTGGCTTGTGAAGTATATACTTTTCCATAATACACTTACTTTTAATTTTTAAAGAGAAACTTATTGCATCAAACTGGTAATTACTTGTTTCACTGGATACAAATTTTCCAAATCCCAACAAACACTAGTACAAATTTCTCAAAGAAAAAAAATTTTATATCCTATAAATCTATCTAAGGAAATTTGAATATAAATTTGATTTCAAACTGATTTGCAAAACAAAAAAGTTGGAAACCATTTTTTTGAAATCTTAATTTTTTCCGCTAGAGCCACTGCTCCAGGGGAAAAATTAAGATTTCATGCAAAAATTGCTGTTTTTTCCTCTCTTTGGTGATGTAATAAAGATTAGGCTAGATTACTGAAGCTTTCTCATATTTTGACTTTTATTTAGGATTTTTATAAGGCAATAAATTCAAAGTAACATCTGTTACTATTACATCATTATCTGATACTTTTCAGAAAACAAAAATTTATCACACAACTCATATGTAAGAAACTGCTGTGCAAGATTTGTTCAACTGACATTAGTTTTTGAGTCCATTTCCAGAGCATAATACTTTTGAGTTATATTTATATAATGTTTTGATTAATTTATACAGTTCTGGACCAAATATTCAGCTTCCAGAAATCAGAATTACCAGAATACCATCTATTTTGAATTTAGCAGTATATAGTACAGCTGTAGTTTACTAACACGTCTGCCTTGTTTTCTGTGGCATACAGATCATATTTAACACATCATATGCCCATATTCACACTGGAACTGGCATCATATGTCAGTTCCAATGTGAATATGGGCACATGATGTGTTAAATATAATTTCATTCTTTACTTCCCATTGTTTATTTTATATTTTAAGCACATATTTAGTCTATATCTAGAAATCTGAATCACTCCTGGTCCCAAGCTTGTCAGACATTTTGTCCAGTATTGTATCTATTATTGATTTTTAGTATTTTAAAAATTTATTATTATTATTTTCCAAATTTTAATATTAACATATCCAATTCTTATTTTTACTTTATAATTAGTTTTGAACTATTTTATGTTAAAAATATAGTCATAAAAATGGACATTTGAAATTGTTACTATTAATGATAAAGCTATTTTATTTCAAGAGATATTCAAATAATAAATTAAATCATTTATTTTAATTGTAAATTTATATTTGTAAAGATAAATTTGAATAATTTAAGAGTATTAAGTCAACAGTTTTATAAACACATTTATAACATTCCTTTCTTGTACCATATTAAAATAATACAGTGGGTGATTGGTTAACGAACATAATCCATTCCAAGACTTTGTTTGCTATCTGAATTGTTCATTAACCGATTTATTGATTTACATAGGTTTCTATGGGAATTTGATTAATTTGTTCTGGAGACCCCAAAAAAATAAAAAATATATACTTTCTTATTACGTTTATTCATATGTAATAATAAAAATACATATTTATATACAGTCTTGCATTTTTATTAGTCATGTTTTTTCTGTTTGTGGGGGTTNTAACTACATATGTATGTATATACATACAAATTCTACTGTATAATTTATAATTGATAAAAGTTTTTAATAATTATTTTTATGTTTATCTTCATAAAATATTTCTTCAATACATAATGTAAGTAACTGCCATTAGAATTTGGAACTTTTGATTTATTTATATTCATTTAAAGCAATTTAAAAATATAATTTACCTCTTTCTGAAGTGAATTAGGGACAACATTCGGTATAATAGCACCAGAAGAGAAATCTCTAATCACAGATGTATCAGTTCCTGCACTACCAGAAACAAGTGGGATGCTTGATACCACTGGTTTAGCAAAGGAACCTGCCATAGGCTTGGATTTCAACAAAATAGAGTTTTGGGCTGGTCGAAGACTAATCTAAAAGAAAGTAAATAAACAATGAAATTAATTCCTTTTTGTAATAATAATATTGAAATAAAACAAAACTTACCTCATCTAAATTGCCTGTTTGCTGTTGTAATGCTTTTTTCAAAAATCGTGGTGGGACATCACGATTAATAGTGGGACTACCACTAAAACCATGCATATGCTGATTCTGAGTTGGAGTTTGTCTTTGCTGTTGATAATTAGGAAATAAGTCACGATCACGATTCTGAATTGGTTTGTTACGATTCTGTCCATAGAATGATCCTGTTCCTCCAGTAGTGAGGAATCCTAAAAAAAAATCATCATTTAATTTAAATATATAAATACATATTTCATATAAAGGAAATGCAATATAAGCTCTAAATTTATAAATTTAGAGCTTAATCCATCACTCATAAATTAAAAGTAAATTTTCCTAGTAAAAATAATGTAATCAGTAGTAATTAAATAAAGTGTTGTATATAGTAACTAAGTTATTTTAAGTTGAACTAATAAAGATCATATTTATACTTTATTTTGATTATGATATATTTAGTGAAATTAAAATATTTAACAACAAGAAAAGTTGAGATTACATTAAATTATGAATTAAACTTTTTTGCATTTTAATATATTCAATAAATGAGTAAAAACTGATTTATTAACATATTTTTCAGTCACATGTTACTTCTCAAACTCGCTGCATTAATTTGGGTCTTCAGCATTTAAAACTGCTTCTCATAATATCCACAAATTAATGTTAAAGATTACATATACAGAAATTTAACATTTTTTATTTTATTAACTCATTAGTTATTAGGATTCTGCATTAACAAATCTGCAGAACTAAATAATAGTTGATTTTTAGAATATAAAATGTTTTAGGACAATGGCATATGATGCATTTTACTCCCATTTGGTTTACACCACCAGATATAATATACAGATAACCCAGTATATGGTGTTAAAAATTAAACAATAATTTAAAATAAATAATTCTGTGAACTATTATAAGCTCAAATATTTTCAACATTACACAATGTAGTCTTCAGAAGCCAAATATTGAAAAAGCAGTACATAATTTTGAAATTTAATTGTTTGTCATACTGAATGTCATATATTCTATATATGCAAATCTAGCCAAAATTCTGGAGGATATACTGTGCACTGAAGTTATTAATGTGGTTTAACTGCCTAAAAAAATGTTTCCCATACAAAGTTGTTTGGAGTCAATTAAACTCTCAAGTAATTTTACTTCATCGTCATGTCTAAATTATCCTCAAACTGCTAACTGGATAATCCCATTAATTTAACCTCCCCTTTAATGTCCATCTGGTGCTCTCTAATACATTTCTAAATTTCCAATATAATACATAAAAGTGTTGCTTGCCAGAGAAAGATGAAATCACTTATATCCCAAAATGTTCTAGGTTATGCCATGGTGTCCTATCCCTCACAATTAGACCTTCTTAGGGGGAGGTGGCTATAGATAGAATGTATATTATTTCTTGAAAAGAGAAAACAACCAATTTCATCAAAATAGTTGAAATTGTACAAAATAGCTGTGGCAAAATATGTATACTGTCTCAATATTTTGTAGGTCCACCATTTGATTTAATTAATTCAAATACAATATCAGACATATATTTTACTAGTTTTTGAAGTTGATCTTGTTTAATATTTTCACAACAATCCATGATAGCTAATTTCAGTTCGTTTACGTTGTATTGTCTGTTTTGGCCATAAACAAGATGACTTATAATGCTCCAAACATTCTCTATTGGATTCATATCAGGGCACCATGATGGCCAATCAATTAGCATTATCCTGTTGGAATTGCCAGTTTTCTCATCCAATAAGTGATCCAAAAGTTATTAAATTTTGATACAACAATTCTTAATACTTTTCTGAATTCATTCTACCTTCTATATATACAATGTTTGTTTTACTACTCTATCCAAATCCTGCTCACACCATCACAGAGATTCCCACCTTGCTGTTTGCTCATTCTGACTTCTTCGTTCTTCCTCAAATCATGCCAGTAGTGGCATTAACTGTCAGGTCCATCCAAATTCCATTTTTTTCATCTGAAAAAACTATTTGGGTCCACTCCTCTTTCCATGTCATCTTGTCTATGGTCCACTTTAATCTAGCTGTTTTGTGCAATTGTGTTAATTTTGGTTTGGCAGCCATTTTTGTAAATTTGGCATTTTTACAATTATGCATACATCTCCATACAGTTTCTGGTGAAACTGCAATTGGCAATATTGATGCTGATTCTCTGACAGCCAACTTGTTGACTCAGTAGTCGAAAAGCCTTTCTTTAATTTCTAGGTGTAAGGAGTCTAGGCCTTCCACATCGCTTATTTCTGTCATAATTTTCATCAGAAGTTAACATTTCTCACAGCACATGTAGATCGATTTACAGATGCTGAAATTTGTCTTGGAGATTGTCCTGCTCCGTTTAGTTGGTAAATTTCACTTATTTCCAACTCTGTTAGTGTTTTTCCACGAGGCATTGTTTTAAATCATAAAAAACCATTTAAAATTGGCCCCACGTTTGTGAGAGATCCGACTCGTGGGCAACCCAATTTGTTTTTCTTTCTTCCAAATTTTAACAACTGTAACATATTTTGAATAAATTTATTACCTTACTGGAAAAAAACCATCGTCAGAAAAACGAAATCAACTATCTCCCTTTTATATAAACATATTAAGTATCAAGTTACAACTCTCTCCTTTAACGTAAACATTCGACCATCTAACAATAGCAGTCGTCTGCAAGTCTTAATGTTGACAATTAAAGTCCAACTTCGACGATTTATTGCAGCTCGGAACCACCTTTAACCTCACACCTGCTAAGACAGTGGGTCACATGACGACTTTTCTCATGGCAAAACGTATAAAAAGCCTCCTCCTTCTTCAATCGGGGGAGTCGCCAATCGAACGAACAACGACGGAGTCGGACATCGAAGTTTTCTTCATCGCAGACCTACTCCACCTTGAGCCACACCTCGCACCGCATATCAGAAATTAAAACCGGTGTATCCATCCGATATTATCCCAGAGGTATGAAATATTATTGTGAACTCTCTCTCTCTGCTATGTTGAAGGAGTTTTGTGTAAATTTTCTTTAGTTAGTCAGTTTAATAAACTCTTGTTTTGTTTCTAAATGGTGTCGTTTACTCGACTGTACATCGTCTTATCATCGACCCTTCTGACTCTCCTCCACTCGCGTAACGTGTAACTGAATGTAACGCCATCCTTGACAAGAAAGTAGGTCACCGACCTGTGGCCATATAGGAGAGGCTTTCCCAACCTCCCCAGCGGCTCACATTTGTAATAATAAACGATACTATCATCTGGTGACAACTAATTAAACCAATAATTAATTAAAAACTTATGCTAATTTTATGCACCTGTGTTTATACTCATGAAACAATAAAAAATTGAAAATCTTTGATAATTTTTTTTGTAATTGTCAGATAGCTCTAAAAATTTTAGAAAATGTATAAATTGATGTAAATATACTATAATAAGTACATTACTACAGTAGAGCCTCGAAAACTTGGCACTCGATAACCCGGCACTCCGGATAACTCGGCCACACCCTGGCAGGGCAAAAAAAATCCTTAGTTAATTAATTTTCATTATAGACAGCTTTATGCCTCAAAGTATTTTTCGGTCTTATCAGATAAATTACTGTACATAGTGTATTCATTAATTTTCATTTTCATATAGTAAAGGCTCTATGCCTTCATAAAAGGTACTTTTCCTTTGTTTAAGGGTATTTGGGCAGTTTATTCTCTGTTGTATTCTCAAGTAAACAATACATACAAATACAGTACAGTATTTTCTGAGGAAACACTCATACTTAAGTTTTTTAACCCCAATCCCGATAACCCTGCATTTTCACAAACTCGGCCACCCTTCGGTCCACATTAGGCCGAGTTTTCGAAACTCTACTGTATTGTTAATGCTTTTGTTATTGAAAAAAGTTGGGTGTATTTATAATTTTGAAACAGACTGTAATATTATATATGTTTAGTGGTATTGGGGAGTAATGCCTTGTCTATCTTATTAAATATACACTTAATCTTGGTTGCATGGTAACCTACTGCCCTCATATGAATTTCAATTATTTAGTTTTTGTTATCATTATACGTGAGCCCAAAGTAATTAAAATAAACATTTTACTCTATGCAGTTGTTTGGCACAGCAAGAATTTGAAGTATTTGATTAACTAAATACAATTATATTCAATTTCTATACACTTTTAGTTTAAATAATTGATATATAATATTTTGTATATATACAAATGAAAAGTTTAGATAATTTTCAAAGAAATAATGTAAAAAAATTACCAGTGTTGCTGAGTCCGCCACTACGATTTGGGCGACCCATATTACTTGAGTATGCAGGAAAGTTGTCCGTGGGAATAACTCCTGGTCCAGTACCTAATCCCACTCCTAAATATAGATTTACATTAATAACAAAACAATTTTTTTTGAAATAATTTTAAAACAATGATTATATAAATCACCAATAGGAAGATGGCTAAAGACGTCATCCATTCCTCCACGCATTTTGCCAGCTAACATACCAGAAGAGGGAACAGGCATATTGCGGCTTGAAAATGCAGGAGGTGGTATATATACTCCATAGTCACGTGCTGCTTCTTCTCGAACTTGCTGGATTGTTTTGGGACCATGATCTGACAGAACTCTCCGGGGAATCCACTACAAAGAAATATCTTTGATATAAAAACATTATAAAATACAAAAATCTATAAATTACATTATTAGAAAGATATATAACAGGAGTAGCTAAACCTTGTCACAGTGGAAGCCATACATCATGTATCAAAAGAAGAATTTTTAAGCTGCATTCTCTATTGGAATGATATTTTACTTACACACACACACATTATATATATATGTGTAATAAAAACTCTAGTCCTCTTATTTACATGTTCAACATGAAATTGAATCACAAAGCATGTTTCAGGAAAAACAGCAGAATATCAAACTCCTGTGAGATGAGAATCCCATGCACCACACATCTAGTGATGTTATGATGTAACATAGCCAAGTTCAAACAGGAAAACAAGAAGTGGCAGACAGCAGTTTTTGTGAAATGCCACCCAGTGTTTCCAAATTGGAAACTTTTTATTGACAGACAGAAAATCTGGGATAGTTTTTGGAGTGACATTTCCTTCACTTTGATCTTTTTTTCAGTATATTAAAGCATAAAAAAATTTGACATGACAGAATACACAAAACACTGTTTAAGCATTGTGATCAAATATATTATTTGGAATAATTCATTTGAATTATTCAAAAATGATTCCCATTTCTAAATGACAGAATAACGTGTTACTTTTCCTTTCCATACTTTAAACTGATAAGGCTGCCAGCACCTACATTAATTGGTATTGTACATAAAACTGGTGGCAATAAATAATTTAAAGTGATCAAAAAAGAAAATTTTTTATATTTTCCAGAGACCTCCTGTATATATATAAAAAAAGTAAAAAGTTAAAATACTATAATTATCAATACTTTATAACTGACACAGTTTGGTCACCATAGATCAATATAATTTTGAAGTTTTTCCAGTATCAAATGTGAGCAAAATTTTCTTCTAATAAATATTTCTTTCAATCAAAAAGCAATATTCTCATTTCTTTTATAATTTTATACTAAGAAAAGATTAATAAGTGATATTTAAATAAGTTTTGAAAAAGCATTTAATAAATAGTTAATCACAAAGTAATTAATCATTCCATATCTTTTCTAGATTAATGATAAATAATAATTATTTTTAATTTCTTTACTAAGTGTGATTTAAAAAAATAATAATAATAAAATAAAAGATAAATGTAACACCCCATTCTGGAGAAAACTTTTGAATTGAATTCAAGTGACTTCTGGTGCAAACTGGAAGTTTGTATATAGTTAATTGGTGCCTCCTGCAACTAAGTAACTGCAATTTAAAAATTGCAGACCTCTAAATTTCCACTGGTGTCTGTCTGTCCTGTAATCTCATGAACGGAGTCAGTTAGATGAAAGTTAAGACCAGATACAGAAAATCTACTAAAATCTACAGAAACCTCTAAATTTCCAATGGTTACTTTCCAAACAACACGAAATTACTTTCCAAACAACCCAATAGATCTGCAATTTAAAAATTGCAGATCTATTGGGTTGTTTGGAAAGTAATTTCGTTTTTTTACCACTAGACGGATTAGTCATATTTTCCCCGCCATTTTTATTCTAAACTGTATTATCATTATATATTTTGACAGCTAGCATTTTAAGGCTTATCTGTAAAAAATTTTGTTAGATTTTGTGCAATTGTTTATTTTTTGTGTCCCATCAAATATGGAAGATCGAAAGCAGCATTTTCGGCATATTTTGCTCTTTTATTACCGAAAAGGTAAGAATGCTGTTCAAGTGAGAAAAAAAAATTGTGTGACATGTATGGAGAAGATGTATTGACAGAACAATAGTGCCAAAATTGGTTTACAAAATTTCGTTCTGGCAATTTCAATATTGAAGATGCACCACATTCTGGATGGCCAGTTGAAGCCAATGAAAACAAAATAAAGGTACTGATTGAAGCAAACTGCCAAATAACAACACATGAAATCACTAAGAAATTAAATTTGTCAAATTGAACTGTTTATGATTACTTGAAACAAATTGGTTTCGTTTCAAAGCTTGATATATGGGTTCCACATGTTCTTAAAGAGAGATGCTCTCTTTGGTGGGATTTTAAGGAAATTTTTTTTTGGAGCTTTTACCAGACAATTTAACAATTGATTCGAAAGTGTACTGCCATCGAGTAAACAAATTGAGTAATATCATCAAACAGAAAAGGCGGCCAGAATTGATCAACAAAACAGGTGTAGTGTTTTACCACGATAATGTCAAATTTCACACAAGTTTGGTAACTCGTCAGAAACTGTTATAACTTAGATGGGACTTGCTATCACGCCAACCGTATTCACCAGATTGAGCACACTCAGATTATTACGTGTTCCGGTCTATACAATTTTTTTTTAACTGTAAGACATTTACTTGAAATGACAATGTCAAAAATCACTTGGATCAGGTTTTTGTAAGCAACGATCAAAACTTTTATGAATGTGAAATCATGCTACTACCAGAAACAATAACAACAGATATTTGACCAAAATGGTCGATATATAATTCAATAAAATATTTATTTATTATAAAAAAATTTTTTTCCACGGAAAAAAAAAAAACGAAACTACTTTCCAAACAACCCAATATAAAGGAACCAAGGTAAATGCTAAATTAGGATATAAATAATCATAAAACATTCAAATTTAATTAAAATAAACTCAGTTCATAGATTGCAATTCAAGCAAATAATTTACATAAGATGGATATCAACAAATTCTACCTTGTTCTGTCGTAATTCCAGCACATCTTGTAGCATGAAGCGAATGCGAGAGGGCAACTCATTATTGTTTGCTAAAGTTTTCATACGATCAAAGTACTGATCCATTCTGGCCTAAACAAATAAATTTCATGCCACATAATTAAAAAGCGAATCAAAATTAAGAACAACAAAGAAAAGAAAGCATTACCTTTGCCTTTTCAGTATCAAGACGATGGCCAACAGTCTTCATTATCTGACAGAGACATTCCAAGTCTTCGGCCATGTCTTTGAGACTTTGCCTCTTCTTTTTAAGCAGGAGCTGGTGTACACACTGATGGAGTATGGTCTCCTGTAACAAGCCCTGCTTACCCAATTCACCAATAAATTTGATATTTCCCAACATTTTGTGCTTGGCAACAGCACGTTGCTCTTCCTCTTCTGCAGAAAGAGGGCCATCTTTCTTATCAAAAGCTGTAATTAAATATTAAAATTAATTTACTGAAAAACTGTGCAAACAAGTTTTTCTGGAAATCCTAAATATTTAATCCTCAACAATAATAAAAGAAAAAGAACATATAATATAAAATAAATATAAACACCTGTAAGCCAATAATTATATTAAAGCCAAACAATTGCCAGATTTAGATTGGGCTATATTACCGCTACTATTAATAATTAAATGCTAAGTAATTCGGCCTAGAGGTAGGCATTAGATGGTTAATTATAATTATTAAATTTAATAAGAGATGGCACCTAAACACCTACATCTAGGTCAAATTACTTAGCATTTAATTTTTAATAGTGTAATGTAGCCTGATCTAATCTGGAAATTGTTCGGCTGTAATATAATTTAACTTATAATTTAAGAAATATTTATATTTCTTATAATAATTTTTGAAATTTACTAAATTAATGAATAATTTCCAATCAGTGACAATACTAAGAAATAATAATAGTAATAAAAAAGATAATACAGAATATTTATGATAATTATGTAATATCAACATGTATTAATAATTTTTACAAGATGTAGAAATTATTACATTTTAGCACACCATTAGAATATACTGTTGTAATCAAAATACAATTCTATCAAATCAGACAAATCCAAGAGTATTCAATATTTCTGATGATAAAGATTTCTTAGAGCAGAATATACAGACTAAATGAAAACTCTACTTCAGGAGTCACCAAAGTGGTCAATATCGACCTTCCGGGGTCATTATAACATTATTGGGATTCGATTATCAAGCTTAAGCTAAGGATCAAGCTTATCAGTTTCACTGATTGTCAGTTACAAAAATTATTAACAACAAATATACAATAAATGGAAAAAAAAAATGCAAAATTAAAAGAAATGTATTAAAATAGTAAGTGCTTTGTTTTGCTTGTAACACAAACTGTTTGATGGCGGTTGATGTGAGGTTTTGAAAACTTGTAGGGGGTCGATGATCAAAAAAGTTTGGCAATCCTTGCTCTACTTTCACTATGATGCAAAACATATAATTTGTCCTATTTTAATTTAATTTTTGAAAAAATTAATTAAAATTATAAAAATCAATAATAAGTCATCGAAATGAAGAGATTGATGGCAACTGAAAGATAATTTTGTGACAACTAATTTTATAGTCATGTAAAAATACAATACATAAATATTATATTTAATAAATTAAATAAACTAATATCATTTCACAAATGCTATTTAATAAATCTGACATGTTACTTGAGTATCTTGTAAAGCAATAAATGAATTCAAAATTACATCATTGTCAAGTAGTTCTGAGAGATGAAACAGAAATTACAATGCTTTTTAATATTATCTCTTAACTAGTCTAGATTCATCAATAATTGTCAGTTCTAATGAGCTCAACTAGTAAAGTCAAAAGTTTGGATAAATTTTCTGCAGGGCAGTGGGTTCCATTTAATGATTTACAAAACCTTGAGATTCACTTCAACAGTGACTTAGGGCAGTGCTCCTCAAAGTGGAAATGCTTTTCTCCCTGGAAGGCATTTTAATTATCCAAGGGGGCATTAGGTATGATAGGAAGGCCTGTGTACACAGAACAGGGGGCATTACTAACAGTCAACCAAGGGAAGTGGTGGTTCAAAAAGTTTGAGTAGCGCTGACTAAGGAGTTCAAGCTAAACTTCTCTAATGATGTTAATATTGCTAAACTTGTTTTATTTTGTATTATGTTAACTTATTCCTAGTGTCCTAATGCATTTCACTGAAGCTAAATAATTATTTACATTGTAATAGAACTTGGCTTGTGAAGTATATACTTTTCCATAATACACTTACTTTTAATTTTTAAAGAGAAACTTATTGCATCAAACTGGTAATTACTTGTTTCACTGGATACAAATTTTCCAAATCCCAACAAACACTAGTACAAATTTCTCAAAGAAAAAAAATTTTATATCCTATAAATCTATCTAAGGAAATTTGAATATAAATTTGATTTCAAACTGATTTGCAAAACAAAAAAGTTGGAAACCATTTTTTTGAAATCTTAATTTTTTCCGCTAGAGCCACTGCTCCAGGGGAAAAATTAAGATTTCATGCAAAAATTGCTGTTTTTTCCTCTCTTTGGTGATGTAATAAAGATTAGGCTAGATTACTGAAGCTTTCTCATATTTTGACTTTTATTTAGGATTTTTATAAGGCAATAAATTCAAAGTAACATCTGTTACTATTACATCATTATCTGATACTTTTCAGAAAACAAAAATTTATCACACAACTCATATGTAAGAAACTGCTGTGCAAGATTTGTTCAACTGACATTAGTTTTTGAGTCCATTTCCAGAGCATAATACTTTTGAGTTATATTTATATAATGTTTTGATTAATTTATACAGTTCTGGACCAAATATTCAGCTTCCAGAAATCAGAATTACCAGAATACCATCTATTTTGAATTTAGCAGTATATAGTACAGCTGTAGTTTACTAACACGTCTGCCTTGTTTTCTGTGGCATACAGATCATATTTAACACATCATATGCCCATATTCACACTGGAACTGGCATCATATGTCAGTTCCAATGTGAATATGGGCACATGATGTGTTAAATATAATTTCATTCTTTACTTCCCATTGTTTATTTTATATTTTAAGCACATATTTAGTCTATATCTAGAAATCTGAATCACTCCTGGTCCCAAGCTTGTCAGACATTTTGTCCAGTATTGTATCTATTATTGATTTTTAGTATTTTAAAAATTTATTATTATTATTTTCCAAATTTTAATATTAACATATCCAATTCTTATTTTTACTTTATAATTAGTTTTGAACTATTTTATGTTAAAAATATAGTCATAAAAATGGACATTTGAAATTGTTACTATTAATGATAAAGCTATTTTATTTCAAGAGATATTCAAATAATAAATTAAATCATTTATTTTAATTGTAAATTTATATTTGTAAAGATAAATTTGAATAATTTAAGAGTATTAAGTCAACAGTTTTATAAACACATTTATAACATTCCTTTCTTGTACCATATTAAAATAATACAGTGGGTGATTGGTTAACGAACATAATCCATTCCAAGACTTTGTTTGCTATCTGAATTGTTCATTAACCGATTTATTGATTTACATAGGTTTCTATGGGAATTTGATTAATTTGTTCTGGAGACCCCAAAAAAATAAAAAATATATACTTTCTTATTACGTTTATTCATATGTAATAATAAAAATACATATTTATATACAGTCTTGCATTTTTATTAGTCATGTTTTTTCTGTTTGTGGGGGTTAAAGAATCTGTCCAATGTCGATTGATTTTCTGTCTTCTTCATGATTTTTCAGAAGTAATTAATAGCATTGTAATTGTAGAGATCCCTAGGCCTATTAACCTCAACCTGGTTTGGATGCCATTTAAGACCTTTGTTCTGACATCCTCCTACTTCTTCAAAAAAATCTTTACTAGCAGATAGACATAAATCTGCATTTTCAGAAGAAAACATAAAAGAATTGTTTCTGTCAAATATAAAAGGATGGAATTACAAGGAAGAGTTTCAACGTTCAGGGGAATACTATCCGATCAGTATATACTGGGTAGAATGTCGATGTCAACGTCTCCCGCGCTCCAAAATGTTTCGAATTGTTGCCTGAAGACAAAGGAAGACCAATTGGTATTTGTTATTTCACGTCACTTCTTCTTGTGTTTGTTCAGTGATGTGTTCATTATCCGAACATGTGTTCGTTGTCTGATCATAAAAATCTTTTGCAAAACTGTTCATTATCTGATTTGTTCGTTAACCGATCACCCACTGTATTCTGAAAATTAATATATTGTCTAGATAATGCATTACAAATAAAAATATATTTTGGTATAAAAAGTTTACCTTATGATACAGTTTATAGTTATGTAAATAATATTATTAATCCATTCCAAACACTCATAACATGAAAAATGCTCACAATGAAAAAATCATCAAGTACACTCCACTCATCCAAGAAATAAGACAACTGTGGATGGCTAGGTTAGGTATTTATTGTGCACTTATCTCTCTTCTACTGCTGTCACCACATACACTACACAAGAGTCTAGAAACTAAACCTTAATAAAAACATGTACAAGACACTAAGCACGTACAGAAAGCTGCAATATTGAATACATCACATCGTTAAGAAGTTTTTATATTTGGATACACACCAATAACACAGAAGCTTAATGTAATGCTTAGATAGCTATGCTTTGACTTTAGTCAGGCATAGCACTTGGCACCAGTAACAGCTGAGCATCACATTTGCAACAAATAACAATGTATTTCATAGATTAAAAAACATCATCATTTTGTAAAATTTTAAACTATCAAAATTAAAAAAATAATAATAATAATAATAAATAGAATTATCATTAACTATTATGTATCAAACCATAAATAAAACAAAACAGCATGAAGTCATACCTTCACTAGTCTTTCTTCTATTTTCAAATTCGTCTTGACACTTAGCTAAGAGAAGACGACGGAATGTCTATAATGTAAAAAAAAAAAAAATGTGAAAAAACAAATAAAAAAAATCTTGTAATTATAAAATGAAAAGATTACATCAGAATATTAACAATATTTTTATATTCAATTTCTCATACATCAAACAATAAACATTAAAGTTCAATCTTTTATTTTCTAAATGTTTTATTGCTATTAGCTGTTAAAATGGATCAATNGCCGAGTTTTCGAAACTCTACTGTATTGTTAATGCTTTTGTTATTGAAAAAAGTTGGGTGTATTTATAATTTTGAAACAGACTGTAATATTATATATGTTTAGTGGTATTGGGGAGTAATGCCTTGTCTATCTTATTAAATATACACTTAATCTTGGTTGCATGGTAACCTACTGCCCTCATATGAATTTCAATTATTTAGTTTTTGTTATCATTATACGTGAGCCCAAAGTAATTAAAATAAACATTTTACTCTATGCAGTTGTTTGGCACAGCAAGAATTTGAAGTATTTGATTAACTAAATACAATTATATTCAATTTCTCATACATCAAACAATAAACATTAAAGTTCAATCTTTTATTTTCTAAATGTTTTATTGCTATTAGCTGTTAAAATGGATCAATCTCAGCTTTATATAGTCTTGTGTAAAATTACACCTTTCTGGATTTTACTAAATTATAGTCTGATCAGACTGACTGTTAGATCTATAAAGAAGTATATTTAATTAATTTCAGACTATCCAGAAGAAAAGATTGACCCAGAAAGATTCTAATTATACACTGTAACTAAATACCACCCTAACCTTGTTCCAAGCATATATATAACTTAGAATTACCATACAAAAATAAAACAACCATACTGAGATAAATGATGATTATAGCCAAGTATGTGAACACAGCAGCTCTCCAGCTGGCACAACAAAGTTATGAATTCTATAATTTTTAATTTTATAAATATCTGAAGAGCAATAATCATGAATAGGCAAAAACAAAATGTACTTGCCCAATTTACTATATTTTTGTGGAATGACTGGCATGCTGCATAAAAACAGGAGAGACCAGCATTGCTGGAAACCCCTGGGTTACTGGCATGTTGATTAAACTGTAACTAAAATGTAAAATCAATTAATTAACAACTAGTTTTGTTAGATCTGGACATTAAAGAAAACATTCTTCCTAGTACAATAAAATAACAACATTGTAATTTGACTGATTTAAAATCAGGAAGACAGTTTTCATTTATAAAACAATAAAACAATTAACCACTTATTGATATTAGTAGTATTAGTTAGTTAGTGTGGTCTGCACTGACAATCTACCCCACCTTAAAAATAACACCTTCCTCTCAAATTTCACATAAAGCTAATGTATTAACATTAGCTTTATAATGGACATAAGCTGAGATAATTTACAGAGAGTTTCATAAATTTAGTATTTTTAGTTTTGGGTTTTTGAATCAATCAATCAATAAAATACAGATAAAAAAAAAAAAAAAAAAAAAACACTTTCAGAATTCCAAAAGTATTTTAAAAAAAAAAAAAAAAAAAAAAAAAAAAAAAAAAAAAAAAAAAAAAAAACACTTTCAGAATTCCAAAAGTATTTTACATCACTAGAAAGAAGATAAAATGAAGAAATTAAACATATAATCATAGTTTTTGATGTAATGCTGACAGTTTCACAGTTTTAGAATAAAAACTGGTTTAGTTTTACATGTATCTCCTTCATTTTTTTTAATGCAAACTCTAGAGAGGAATGTATAACCTCACTTAAACTGATATGCTGGCTTTTACCATACAGAAATATCTGATTTCATGGTTTCCCCCAGATACACCAGCATGCCAATCGTTCTACAAAAATATGGTATATGGTCTGAATTCCAATCCAAATCAATCTTTTTCCAGATCTTCTAGTTTAATTTATTATATTTATTAAATTTCATATATCTCATTTTTTTTTTACTTTAGCCCAAAAATTTCCAACATTATTTTGCTTATATCTAAATATAATTTGGAATAGGATGTTTCTATATTTTTATATATTCAAACATAAAAAGTTTATATATTTAAAAAAAAAAAAATTGATTTTAAGTATAATTTCTTCACTTAAGGTTAAAGGAAGCCTAAATAACTGCAATATCAAGCTAAAACTTAACTGCTTAATTTTGATACAGTAAACGTAGATTAACAAGAATGAAACAGTCAACTGCAAATTATAACAATTCTAATAGTGAAAAACAATAGCTAACACATTCAGCTTGTTGTTACCCACTACAAAATTAATAATTTCATTATTTATACCATTTGTTCTATATTCATCTATATGAACAAATCTTCAATTAACCCAAATTTACAATTTGTTAGAATGAGTACGACAATATATTTGGTTACTGCCATTTTACTGTAGGGTTAACACAGATGAAACACGGCACCATCATCAATCTCATTAATAATTTGTTAAGTTTTCTCTTATATATTGTAAAGAGCCTTTGCTAAAACAGTACAATTGCTTATCTCAATTATCTTTCTGGATTCTTCATTAAAATTTCATGTCTCAGTTCTTCAAAACTACTGCTGTTTGTTTTTTCTAAAATAACATTTTCTACATTATGAGTGCATTGTATAAGGCAGAGAATATGGTATATTTAATAGAAATAAATTCATTTTTGTCTGAATAAGTAAGATAAAAGTATTTATTGTTTTATTAAGATATTAGACTGCATAAAAAATATAGAATTGCAAGAATTTTTTCATATTCATAATCAAATTTGAAATAAAAACAAAAACAACAATATTGTTTTCTGTATGTGCATATATATATATTTGATTAAATATAGAAAAATAAAGTTATAAACATTATAAGAGAAATACCATTTCTAGGAAAGCAGGGAAAAAAATTGTAATAAGGCAGATTCATAAGAAATTAAAAGTTTAAAACTTTTAAATGGTTTGTAGTATATTTTACTACATTAATAAACTATTTTGTGTACCAAATACCTACTATACTGTAATTATACTACTATACTCTAATTATACTGTAATTGGTATCTGTAGAAAAAATATGAGAATAACAAAATAAAGTAATAAAGTGATGTAGGACATAACTAATTTACAGCATACGCCAATCATGCAATTTTATCACTTGCCTAAGTTCAATGAAATTTTAAAAAATATTTTTTCAAATTGCAATTGCAATTATAATGAATTTTTGACTATCCAGAATAATTACTAAACTTAGTTTCCATTGTTTAAAAAATCATTCAAATGACTTTCTTTAATTGCTAAAAATAAAAACATGAAAAGAGGATTTACTTTAACTTACATTACTGCTGTTGTTATTGTTGCTGCTATGACTACTTGAACTATTTGAAGGAAAGTCAAAATTTGGGGCTTCTTCACATAATTTATGGCATAACTGCGCATACATAGAACTGTACTTCGGTTCATCTAAAGCTTTGTCAAAGATCTAAGTTAAAAAAAAAAAATTACATACATATACATGAATGTTTACTTTTACAATATAAAACCAAACTATATAACTAAATTTATTCTAGAAATAGACTTTTGTAGCAGATTTTCATCATCTATATTGAAAGCTTATTAAATCCAGAAAAAATATCTCATTGTAATAATACAAAATAAATATATACTGTATAAGATTACATTTCAAATATTTTGTAATTCTTGTAAAAAATTAAAAAATATAACTACTTTATTAACTAGCAAGTAAGTGTACATTCACATACACAATAATTCATATTAAAAAACTGTTAGAGAAAGGAAGATAAATAAATAAATATATATACAGTAAAACCTGTCTATGGCGACCATCCACGGTTCTTTCAAAAAGTGGTCTTTTAGACAGGTGGTGACGTAATACTGTATTTCCGTACGTATTTTACGCACTTTTTAGCCATTTCTACTAAGCAAAACTCAAGGTGAGTAAAAATAAGCGAATTTTTTCAACGATAGGGCTATATTGGTATCGTATTTTAATATTATCGGATAACCCGATTTACGGGAGTCATCGTGATATTATAAGACAGATTTAACACCAATATTTTAAAAATTAATATAATACTCGCATTTTCTCGATTATAATGCACACTTTCTTTTTTCCGACTTAATTAATTCGACTCGGTTATTTTCGTTCGCTTCTCAGTTACGTGTATTACGTCATCAATATACAAGCGCGTCCTATCTCTCCATCACTTTGCTTTTGGTTTTCGTTAGTTTAATCTTATTTTAACTTTAAAAATACTGTATTTTTAATATTTAATATTTTCTTAATTAATTAAGTACAATAAGAAAAATTATTAATTAATAATAAAACAATTTTATTATTTTTTCTCATCGTACGATTTCATTACAATCGCGGAATCGAAAAAGGAAGTAAAACTGATTTTTGCATTAATGTGCTTATTGTTTCTTGAATATTTTGCCTGCGAAAATGACTTGGATATTATTTTTCTAAAAATATCGTGGAAATAAGGTAGGTTGATACAGTAACTATTTATCGCACGTGTACTATATATGAGCTTCAAAAGAAATAAATAAAAATAGATTTTATCAAACGATGAGATCAGTCGATTAATTTTATCGTGTACAATATTTTACATCCCCAAGGAAAATACTATAGGTCTACGGTAAAATAAATTTCGTTTTCCCACAGTTAAACTTCGCCGCTAATTGCTATTGTGATAACTTTAATACGATCTTCTAACAACAGCGCTTTGCATTTCGGACATTTTCCAACAAACTGGAATGAATTTTCTTTGTTGCTAGACTAATTTATTAACACCTGCACCTAATTCCAAGGGTGGGAGAAGTGCCCAGGATGGGTTCGAACGAGAGTTTAGACCAGATACATTCGCGAAAGTGGTCGCTTATTACAGGTGTTGTATGTTGTTTCGGACCAAAAATCGATGCCCGCGGTCGCGTTACGCAGGTGGTCGTTTAATACAGGTAACTTATACGAAGACTCTATGGATAAACTATTCTGTGCCAAAAATTTTTGCCCGTTTTGACAGGTGCCCGTCGAATGCGGGTGGTCGCCTAAGCAGTTTTCACTGTATATGTAAAAGAAACAAAAGAACTGGTTTCAGAAGTGTGTGCTACTATCAATGAGTAGACACATTTAGTGGTCTCCTAGATGTATGTTAGACTAGTACATATTGTTATATGTTATAATAAATATTTGTGTAGTTAAAGATCAAGTCCCATCATAGTCCCAACAAACTTATAATGAACTTATAATCATCAAAAATGCAATCTTTTACATAGTCTTAAATATTTCTATTATATATTATATAATATTGGTCTAATAAAATCATTAAAAGTCATAATGGATTTAGTGACAGAGAAATAAGACACCTTGCACTAGAGGTTGCAAATTATAACATGACATTGAATCTAAAACATACCCTATTTTCAGAGATACTAAAACCTGGAGGGAAGCATCTCATATTTGAGTAAATATGGTGTATATGTTACCGCTAAAGCTTGAAATCCGTTAATGTGCGCATTACCTAGCTAATCTGCAGATTAACTAGGGTGATCCGTTAAAGCTGCGAAAATTATTCCATTTCTCAGATTACCTAGGTAATGTTCAGATTATCTAGGTAATCTGCAAATTACCTACTAGGCACTCGGTAAAGTGAAAATAAGATTTTTGCTGGAACAACAGCAACGTTTCTGTACGCTTATAAAATTATAGTCCAATTCCTGATGAATACCAAGTGTGCTGTCATTCAACATGACGAATAAAGGTTTGTTTAGTTTCATATTTCACTTACCAGAAGTATTACACCTTTCAATATCTGAGTGGAGTCAAGTCCAATGCTGAGTAACTCCTCGCTCAGCTTGTGGAACTTCTCTGGTGTAAGCTTATTGAGGATGCTAGTATACAAAGTTTTAGTATGAGAAATTTTATATTAAAAACAAAAATAAATTCATCAATATACGACGTTACCCTCTGACTTTTCTGAAAACGAGATCATTTTTTTCTTCAGGGGTAATTGCATCTCGTTTTATGCTGCTTGGAGGTACCCATCTGCGAATGGCGGAGCCTACGCTAGTGGTTATTGGACGAGGAGGTTCGTCCCTGAAAAGAATTGTACAAAATCAATTAGTTAATATGCAAAGACATTCTAGTCAATTATATTTTCCTCAGATTGACTTATATGGCAGTAATGTCACTTTTTCTAAATTAGTGATTCATCAATCACTAATTTAGAATATACACTTAATCTTTAGTAAATCTAACTTCCAATTTGTTTTTAACTTGATTTTTCTGCAATATTTTATCATTTCCAATGTAATCAAATAAATAACAAAAATTAATTTATAATGAAATATATATAAGAAAATAAATAAGTGTCCAAAATTAAAATGAATATTCCAAATAAAAATCTTTTTACAATAATTAAATAATAAATATGTTATTAGTTTTTGAACATACCTATTAATAATAATTGCAAATATAATTTATATACCTATATATTATATGTATAACTGAGAAATTCACTATGTATACATGAATATCTGTATAATAAATTGCAGGAATGTCTCAAAAAGTAAGTCTTTATCTCTTATTATAAGGAGGTCACAGTGTAATTATCACAGATTTCAGTATAGTAAAACCTTGATTAAATGGACTAATTCGGTCAAGGAAATGTCTGTTAAAGCCAAAAGGCCATTATTTAATAAAAAGTAGGTTTTCTGAATGTGTGTTAAAAAATTGACAAATTAGTTATTTTATCTGTTTTTACTTATGTAGATTAATGAAATATAAAAGCATGCAAAGACAAGATTCAAGATATCCATCCATGTTGAGTCTTTATCCCTAATGAATAATATAATGAATGAGCTTTTATGAGAAATCAATGAAATTATTTTCCTGTATAAGCTCATTCACATACTTTTTTATTTATAAGAAATCATGTTAAAATATTGCTGCTAATCTAATTACCCTAACACTTCCCTTTGAAAACAATTCTATTTTGTGTCCACTTCCCATTTGTGACCAGCAAAAAAAATTCTCCAAAATTTTAAATTTGATTTAAATGGGAAAAAAACCTCTAATTTGCAACCGCTTCTGATTTATGCTCATCTACAATATGTGACTATATGTTTTTGGTCCCTCCCATATATTATCCTTATAAGAATCCAGTTACTTCAAATTCATTGCCATATCAAGCTTCTTTCTTTGTTTTGTTTTCAGAAATAGTTACAGTTACTACTAACCAGTAAAATACTTTCTACAGTAATAAGAGGCTGGTAACATTTTTGACAACTTACATTTGTTAATAGAACCATAAAAAATGATAAATTCCAGCACAAATTCTTTAATAACTAACATTTTCAACATCATTCAAAGGATTTTATCAGGCTACGTTACTAATGCCAAAGATGCTCACAGAATTCTACAGAGGTGTTTAGTGAACATCTTTGATATTCAAAATTTATTAATTGGATAAATCAAACAATAGTAATACTCGAAAAACTATGACAGAACAGCAAGTTTATCATTGACAAGCTACTATTAAAATTTAATCTTTAGTTTAATTGTTTAAAATATCTTAAATTTTGAATAAATATATTTTTGGTCAATTGTAATTTGTTGCAAATTCTGTCATATTATAGGCTGAAATACAGGTTATAAATAAGTCTGTTTTGTGCCCACCTCTTATACATGATCACTTCTGATTTTCCCCTGAACATGGTGGAAAAAAAAAATTTTAATGTATGTTTGTTTTTATGCTAAACATTGCAGCAAAAAACTAAAACATAATCATAGATTGACCTTTAAAAGCCTTTCAAATTTGCCTATAATCATTTTTGACTTATCTTTCCTTTATATAAAAACCCTCTAGTACAAAAGACATAATCAACCAGTTTCCAATCAGCAAGAGTAAACTGTATTAAATTTTATAATAATTTGGATAAATATTTTAAGATCTCAAAAAAATCATGTGATAACCAGTAGCATCTCTCTCCCAGAAATAATTTAAGGCTTAAAAATTAATTTTTCATTATCATGTGATGTATGTATTTATCCTACATTGTTTGACTGCAGATTAGAACACGATCACATTCAAAATATACTAAGTTCTTTTTCAGTTAATGATGATTTTTTCCTAACTTTATTTGATCATATTAAGTGATAAAATCTGATATCTTCAATTCACAGACAATGCATAGAATGGTAATCAATAGATAGAAATATACAAAAAAATTCTGACTTTAAAAGTCAAAAATTATTATTAAATTAGTGATATTCTTTGATAACAAAAAAACCATTCAGAAGAAAAACTTGTTCAAGGCCAAATGATAAATAAAGACCATGTACAGGTTTTAAATCATTTTAATCAAAATTCCCTGAAATCCCAGTTTTATTAAAAGTAAGTTATTTGCAATCAATCTGATTTTCAGATTTTCTTATATCCTGTACCTATCTCCTTCATGCCTGTTCCTTAAAATAAAATCAATGCTAAAAGAAAGGTGATTTGAGAATACAAGAAACATTAAATGTAATATGACAGAAATTTATAGTGGTAAATTTAGTGGAGGCACAGGTTCCCAGAAAGACAACCAATGATAAGATTGTTTAATGTTGCAGTTTTTCATTGCATTTCAGTAGTCTGTCCAAAACAACCTGTTCTTATGACAAGAAAAAACAAAGTGGTAAACAAATTGAAAATCTCTGAGATTTGTTTTCTATTGTGCATTCATGTGGAACCCAGTTAGCTTAATTTGTATACCTTCTCCAGTTGATGCAAGTCCAGATGAATGTTTCATCACTCACTTGAAATCTTTCTTCAAACTCAAAGAAAAAAAGTGGATTCTTACACTACACTGTAAGATTCAAGTGTTTATGGGTAAACAAAGGTCAATCAACTTTTACAAATGTCAGAGGGCAAATGGTGCAGAAAGTGATGATCTGCATTTGGTGGGATTTACATAGCATCATTATGACAGAGCTGTTTCCAACCAATATCACTGTCATGAAAGAACTCAACTGTAAACAATTGAATTGTTTGAACATCAAGATCAAAGAACGTCATTCAAAATACACCTGATTAACCTTAATAATGTTTTGCAGTTGTCTTGTAACATACCACAAACATTTTCAGTCCACCCTAGGACCTTCTTTGGATGGAGATCTGGAAAAAACCTTTTCTAGTGTGATTAGATTTTATTTCAAAAAGGAAATTAGACAATAGAAGCATTCAAAATTAGAATGCATCAGAAACTGAATAGAATGCTAATCACACCAGAAAAGGTTTTTCCAGAACTCCATCCAAAGAAGGTCCTAGGGTGGACTGAAAATGTTTCTGGTATGTTACAAAACAACTGCGAAGCATTATTAAGGTTAGTGAGATGTATTTATAAATTTATAATCAACACTTTATTTATTGGATGGATTTTATCTTCATTCAAAAGTTGACAAGGTCTGATATCATCATTGCAATATACCAGCACATAGAGCAAAGATGACCTTAGAGAAGCCAGCAGTCTGGACTGGAAGGCTCTGTCTCATCCACCTTAAAGCACAGACTTGGCAGCAATTGACTATCATGTATTTGCATCCATATTGCCAATATGCAGTTCAATGACAATACTCATATGAGAATGATGTCAAGACTTTCTTCAAATAAAAATTCAGTCATTCTATGCTCACAAAATTGAAAGCTTGCAGCAAAGGTGGAAAGATGCAATTATTATTGTCAGATTACCTACAAGACTCAACTTTAATCCTTATTAAATTGTCAATAGAGTTTCATAAAATGTCTAAATTTTACCTTTAAAATCTGATATTAATGACTAATAATATACATTTTTAAATATAATTTCATTAAATATATTTTACTAATAATTATTAGTAAAATATATTTAAAATTATTATTTACTTTATTAAAATACGATTATTAAAAGAACATACCTTCCTCCTGAGCATCGAGAAGCACCCCCCAGTCCTCTCTGCCCGTCCGTTGTTACGTTTAATATGACTAACACCACCAGCAAAATTGAGTCGAATGTTTTATGGCCAAGCTGGTGGGTAGCTCCTAATAAATATAAAAATTTACATTAAAAGATCTGAATTTATTTGAATTTAATTTAAAGTCATTATTCTTAATAAAAGTAGGAAAAATTTCTAAATTTCAACTTGAAAAAATTAACTTTTCCAGTATCATTCTTTACTCAATATTTGTTCAGTTCATTACAATGTTTTATCTGTTTAGAAAACAAATTTATTGTTTGAGTTACTACTAGCATATTTTTTCAATATTTTATAAATTATTTGGCTTCAACATTTTTCTAAATAAAAACTGTTGCATTATTTAGCTGGGCACAAATAACTTGAAAGTTGTGTTCTTATGTCATGAGAAGTATTAAATTTAATCTTTTATATTATTTTATTAGATATTCTTATATCACTACAGATTTAGCAACTTGAAATAGCTTTCATAAAAATTAAAATTTTATAAGTTTTGTAGAATATTGTCTTCTCAAATTATAGAACTTTAATTATTCTAATCATAAAGAAGAAATAATTAGGCACCTCAAATGTTTAGTTTTCTCATTCTCAAATCAAGAAATCTCTAAAATATTCCAATTTTTAGTAGCAAGACTGTTTCACATGTAGGAACAGAAAACAAATCTTATCCTACAAACATATTTCAAAACGAGAGAAATGATCACTCTTTACAATATTCTAAAATTGAGTTCTTAGCTTCAAAAAAATGCACCCTATTCTATGACATGTTTTACTTGTAAATGCTTAATTAACAAATAATCCTAAAGCATAAAATATATTTGATATTTTAGATCATTTTAAATTAATTAACCCCTTCATTTCAAATTGTTTATTAGGATAATCTATTTTCTTGAAAATGCAAGGAAATTAAATTCCTTTAATAAACATTTCTGTTTTCACCGGTCATCTCCATGATTAGCAAAATAAATGACTGACATACAAAGCACAGAAAAGTAGAACCACCTCCCATTGAAACAAAATGGAAGTCATTATGAATAACGCACAAAATGTTTGCACATTTAAGCTATTTTAGTGCTTTTTTCCTGTTCAATTTCACACCTTCCTTATGTCTCCCAGTAATACTTTATTAAAAACAAACGTTTTTGGTCTTGTTTACAAGTTCTTCACATTCGAATTGAATGGTTTACTCCGTGTAAAACCTGAAGCAGGCCCATAAACTAAGTCAAAAATGTTTGTTTTTAATAAAGTATTGCTGTAAGACATAAGGTGTGAAATTGATAATAGTTAAGTTCCAGCTTTGAACACTATATTGTTTTTTCTGTTCTCACAAAGTACGTATTAATTTATGCTCAACATTGATCTCACAACACTATCATTTGACAGCAACATTGAAAAATTGAATACAAATATAAACACCAATAAATCTTATTTTTAATGTCAAATGATTGCTGAATTGCATTGGGTTACATTAATGCTACTAATACAGACTGAGGTAATTTGACAATCATTTGCGAAAAATTTAATTGTCATAAATCATAAATGTGGTTGCATTTATGTAAGAATTATAATCAAATATTTAATACATCAATAACTGTAAAAAGAAACTTGATTTTTCATCTACTAAAATTGTAAATTTGATTTGATATTTAACAAATGTTATCTCTAATAACACTTATTTGGTTAAATAAATAATTTTGCATTACAATTAAAATTAAGGGTGTAGATCTTAAAAATCTGCACAAATTTTATTGTTTAAAATTCATTTATTTATTTTAAACTAAGGACTTTATGAATACAGACAAATTGTTTAAAATTTAGATGAAATAATAAGGAATGTGATAAGCTGCAATTCAAATTTCATTCTTAACTCATTCCATTAACCTCGAAGTGGTCAGCTTTGAAGTGACAAAGCTTGATCTCAATCCTATCCTCCATTCCTTCACAGCTTCCGAACTATTTTCACAAAATTTTTGCTTTAGTTGGTACCAAAATCTGCGACTGAAACCAAATGAGAGAACATTTGGAACACTGACTTTATGGGAGACATATCAAATTCTGTAATGGTCCAACTTGGCATATGCGTCTTGTGAACATAATGAGCAGTGGCCATGTCTGGCCAGAAGACACATCTTTGATCAGGATAGTATTTCTTGGTACTAGCCTCTTCTGCATTCACTGCCATAGACTTCTTTGGTATTGAGAACCGTGACAGAGCAATGAAGGACTAAGTGTCATTTGAATTTGAAAAATCAAATTCAAATGACACACATCCAGCCTTTCTTTGGTTAAACTGTGATTGTTACCAGCACATTCACTTCCATCAAAAAGACTCATCTTCCATAACCACACCACAACTGTTTGTTCTCTTTGTAACTCGACTACACAGCTTCTGCAGAAGGGTTTTTTTGTAGAAAATTATTTTGGTGTGTATTTTGGAGCAGATTTTCTCTTCTTAAGAGTCACTCGACATTTCTTCAGAATCTGTTAAACACATCCATGTGAAATTTTGAATTTTCTTCCAAATTTTCTAAGCATTAGTCCAACTTTTTAAAGGCTACTTCTTCCAATTGGTTTCTCTTCCTTTCATTCACTTTCCTCCTCTTCAACAACTTTCCATTCTTTTTTCTGCAGTTTCCCTTCTCTACACTTGAAATAATGCTAAACATTACATGCCATGAAATTCCCATTGCAGAGAAATGTTAACCTGTATAAGATTTACCATTTTCACAGTTTTCAGTACAAAAGTCTGCCAATTATATTTCTTCAATTAAATGAATTTAATCCTTCCATTTTTAAAATGGAATGTTATTTATGTAAAATGTTTGTCTGCACATGTGAGATTATTTGAAATTACCAGAAAATGCTATTGAAATCTGTGCAATTTTTAGGATATATGCCTGTATTTACTGGATATTTTTAAAACAGTTATATATTTATGTATTTAATCAACAGAGTAAAAATTTCAAAAACAAATAAGAATACAAAGTCATTCATCAAAATTTACCACTAAAAAATAATAGGCAGCAAAATGTAACAAGAAAATACATCAAGTGATGAAAATTGGATTACAGTCGACCCCCCTATAAGATAGAGATACGTTCCATTCTCTAGGAATCCGCTTTCTTACGAATCCTTCCAATCACAACCCGACACGTGTCAAGTTTACGGACTACGGCTGTTTGAAAGATTTTCTTCCATAAAATTAATCGATTCTAGACTAATCCGACTCAACATTTCCAAAATACGTATATATTTTTTGGGAATAATCTGTATAAACTACGCTATAAACAAAAAATTGTAGGATTACTTACCGAGTGTCACCATTCGACATTGCCATTGCTCAACATTGTTTTCGTCGCGGAACAGCTCAGCAAAGAGCGGCCGATTTCTAACAACTTATTTTTCTGTGAAAACTTCGTAGAACTTCGGAGACATCATTAATATAAATAATTTTAATCGCCGTTGAATAAGAAATGTTTCTTTCACAAGAAATGTATAAAATTACAGTACTGTATTAGACTTACGGTACCTAATTTACATACTGACAGACGATAGTTAGCGTAAAAATCTCCGTAGCGTGGCGCCACGCTAGAGGGCGGAAATTATATATTTAATTATAACAAAGTTACAATAAGTTAATATATAATTATCTATACAGTACCTAATTTATATATAATTTATATAATACTGTCCAGACGATAGAAATCTCTCCGTAGCGTGGCGCTACGGACGGCGGGAAAGTAGTTCGGCTTCCCGATGACGTTTGAGGTGTTTATAGGGAACTTTTACTATTTTTTACGGATACCGGTAGCAATTTTTTCATAGTTTTATAGGAATCGTAACTATAGGGACCGTAATTATAGGGGGGTCAACTATATTATTAATGACAGTATCATATCTGTAACCAACAATCAACATTATACAGAAGTTCTAATTTGTTTTTAGCAATCTGAAAACTTTACATTTTTTCAATTCAATTTTTCATTTATCAATTTAAAAATTATTTTTCTTATTATGCAAATTATAAAATAAATCTATGTTGTGACCATTTTTGTAATGATAAAAGTTTAAAAGTATGTTATGCATTACAGTAGAAAAAATTATCAGAATGTTTATCTGAACTGGGTCATAATTTTTTACACAAAGCTTGTGAAAGATACTCCAAGCCCAGCCAGGATGTCATCACCTAAAAAGAAGAATGTGATGACAGTAGAATCAAAATTAAAGATCATCAACTGTTTAAACATGAAAGCCAACTGACAAAATACCTTAAAATTTGCTGCCAGATTGACTCTGATGATGGATCTTATATATAAAGAAAAATTACAAAAGATGCAAATGATGCATCACTTACTACATACTTCATTTGTGGTTCCTGGAAAGAAGTAATGAGAAACCAATCACCAATATCAGACCTTTTATTATGTGGAAAGGTGCTACACATGAACTGTCATTTCAATCATCCTTGGTTTCAAAACCAGAAAAACTGGCTCAAAACTTTAAGTCTCAAGATGGCATAAGAGAACTTCAAAATGAAGGAGAGTTGTCAATCGGCAACAACACAGCTACCAATAAATTCAAGAAAAGACTCATGAAACTCATGGAAAGCAGGGGGTATTCTAAAGATGTTATCTACAATGCAGATGAAATGAGAATAAACTGGAAGGCACTGTCTCAAAAGTCATTGGCTTTGTGATGCTGAGAGCAAATCTCCTGGCTTTAAAGTTAACAAAAAGCAAATAGCCACATTGGTTTGCACAAAAATGTTAGAGGTATTCATGCATTGTCATTGATTGGAGTCTAAAAACACCTCACTGTTTAAGAAATGTTGTCTTGTAAATGTATCTACCATTTGTGAGGCAAAAAATGCATGAATGAACTCCAATCTTTTTTGTGGATGGTATACCAAAGACTGTGTTAAAAGGCATTGTGAATGCAAAGGATAACATGGCAAAGTACTACTGCTACTTAACAATATGTTTACTTTCCATCAACTGATGTTCTAAATGCAATTGACAATGATTTTCAGGTGATGTATCTTCCTTCAAATGTTACAGCATTAATTCAACCA